ATGCAGCTGGCGTATTTTCGAGTATCGTCCTTCCGTGTCGGTCTCAGGCGGTTATGTGAACTTCATGAAGTCAAATTTATCGATGATAATAAAAATATACTTAATTCCTGTCTGAAGATTTGGCAGCATAAATAAAAGATCCTCACCTCAAAGATACACATATAAGTAAACGCACCTTCAAATTATCTGAAAGATGTTCTGCAAATCTTTTTCGGCGCTTTAATCCTCTATAGACACGTTATAGGTGATTCGGGAAAGCTTTAAATAATTTTTTTATTTTATTCTGAAGCTAATTTAAATAACTATGTGTTCCTCACGGATATATAACTTCTCAAATTTATAGAAGTTTATTATCGCTTCTTTTATCTGTTAAACAGAACTTTTACGTGTCTGTGGGTCGAACCAAAACAAAATGCACTGGGACGAATGGTGGAACTATGACGATTACACACGCAAACTGTAAGAAAGTGTCCAATTAAGTAGCTTCCAAATTGAGTAGAGCGTGAAATACCACTTTGTTCTATTTAACAAAAATCATCAATTAGCGAGGGTGATGCTTACTTGCAAATTAAATTGACCGGCATCTTGTCAAGAACAAACCTCAACCGGCTATGCCAGTTTATCCTATATAAGAAAATGTTCACATGGGTAAGCACTGTTTTAGGTGAGATTCGATCTCAGTACGAAGGTGCTCATAGATTAGAGTGAACAATTTCAGCCACTCCTTTTTGCATGATTCGTCGCCCGCATCATGGTGCTGAGAGCAAACAATGCTGATTAGAAAAACAAGCATTGTGATTGTTGCTTAGTGTATCTATAAAATATAGACTGGAAGGGCTTGTCTCGTGACTTTCGTGACATTTTGAAAATTATATTGCCTTAAGCTCAGTCGTCTCGTCATTATATATATATTGTGCAACGTATTCCGTAAAACAGATATCATGATATATCTGGCGACGAGGTGTCCATTTCATGATTTTCTTCACTGTAATTAATTCCTTAGTTTAAGGGCAAAACAACGATTCAACTTCTAATACTGCGATACAAAGTTGTACCAATCACGGTTTTTTTAGGCAACCTACTTCACTTCGCGAAAACATTTCGATTCAGGTACAATGTATGTGACTCTGGTAAACGAAGGGATGTTGAGTCGTATAAGCACGACATTTTGTATGTTAATGTAGATTTTCTTTTCTTGTTGTGTAAGAATAAATAACAGAATTTTATAATTTTGGTACCTGAAAATAAAACTGGATTGAACAAACGATAAAAAAAAGAAAACTATATACTGTAAATGACTTATTTTTCGTGGGCTCAATATTTCGCGATTTAGGTCAAAGCTGAAGTTTTGGAATAATTCGCGGGTTGTAATTTTCTCGACGCGGTGGAATCTCAATATAAATTCCAATGTGTTTACATTTTAGCAAAATTGTTCGCGGGACCCATTTTTCGCGAATCGTAGGCGATTCATGAAATTCTAAAAAAATAGGTCCTCGCAAAAATCAGATCGTTTACAGTAGTTAGTTTCACGGTCTAAATAGTGCCTATTGACAGAACAACGCGGAAAATATATTCTCAATTTAGCGGTTCAAACCGGTTCGAACCGGTTCGAACCGGTTTGAACCGTTATTTTTTGCGCCCCGGAACTGAACCGGAACTGAACCAAAAGCCGTGAACCCGAACCCGAACCGAACCGATAAAAATATCGGTTCGACACTCTGGTTCACACTTTTCAAAACTAGTCTGTCGTGAAGTTAGTAAAGCACTAAACCATTTATCAAAGTTTTAATAATATCGGATGCGTGTGCAAATTTTGAGAAGGCAATTTCCAAGGCAATGGCGTTTGAAGCAGACGATTTTTGCTCGCAGCGGAGATGGGCTTTTCGGGTTGGCCGGAGCGGGTCACGTGAATGGTGTGACGTCGCCGTGTCGTCTGCTGCATGATGCCACTCAGGCAATTTTTTTAAATAAGTCACGTCCTTGCGGGGCACAAAACTTAGCACAAATTATCCTAAAATGTCCCATTATTATGTCAAAAATAATTGCCATTCCGTACAACTCCACAATACTGAAGAAACAACGATTTTCTCACGTTCTCCATGCATTTCTGACCACAGTTGGAACCTCCGGGCGTTCGCCGCTAGTCGCCGAGAGGCGGCGTTCTAGATTGCGCTACTCTGCTCCGAAGGAGCTATATAGTGCTCTAGGCTGCGCCACGCTCGCTTCTACCCAACCTCGTCACGCCACATCTGCAAGGAGTCACTAAAATTGCGAGTAAACACAAAAACGACACCAATACAATTATCTTGTAGAATATCACCTTATTTAGTAATAACTATGTCAATATGCATTACATGTTGCATTTAAGTTAAGAAAAAAAGAAACAAAACCTTTTTTTGCCAGAAAAACAATATCAACGTTAAGTCTGGTAACAATGTATGTTTGCTAAATCTTTAGAAAAGTTTGGCAAAAGTTCAGCTTTGCCGAATCCGAAGATTCGGCGCCAAACTTTCGATTCGGCAAAAGTTCGGCCCATCACTAGTTAATGCATTAAATCTAAGCCTGGGCATCGATTAAAAGTCTTAGCTTGATTAATTGCCCCCTTTAATCGATTACTTAACGATTACGGGACTTGTCTTGAGTTACAAATATTGACCCTACAGTTTTTTCTAAAATTTGACCTAATGTTTATCCTTCATACAGGTGTATTTGCCCACGTCTGTGGTGAAGGCATTTAATTTTTATATTTCTTTGGTTCGCAAAACTTTATGGTTAAAAGCTTTGATCGCGATTAAAGCATTGATCGATTAATCATTAGGTCAATCGATAAATTGTCCACCCCTAATTTAAATCCCATGCCAACTTCTAAAGCAAAGGAAAATTTTAAAGTAATTTAATTGCAAAATAAATGAAGGATTTAACATCAGTTGGTAAAATTACTACTCCCAGAATTAGAAGGTATTTCACTCCGTTAAATCCCGTATGAACGCCCGCCCCCGTTTTTGGACTGAATATCCGTAAAGTGAACATTCTGAAACATCACCCACCCCCCAATTCCTGTGAGATATCGATCACGCGATGCCCGACGGGATTCTCACCAACCGCGCCATCTGTGGTATCTGCGAAAATCGTGCTCGCAACGGGTTCCCTTGTGTTTTTTGCATGGTGACACGCGAATTTGCTGCGTCCGCGATCTGCAGTATTCGTTCCCGTGACATGGAAGTTCATAGCTCGCTGCCGAGTTTTTTTTGTCCGCGATCTGCGCGCTCGATCTCGTTTTCCACAACACGGGAGTTTATAGCGGTTTCCCGCGTGTTTATCGCACCGCGAGACACAACTCTGCTGTATCTGTTCCCGTGACATGCGAGTTCGTAGCTGGTTCCCGTGCTTTTGTCCGCGATCTGGGTGTCGGTTCCCGTAACACCAGAGCTGGTAGCGGGTTCCCGCATGCTTTTCGCACCGCGAAGAGCGAATGTACTGCGTGCGTGTTCTACGGTACCCGTTCCCGGACACAGGAGTTCGTAGAGGATTCCCGCGTGTATTACGCACCGTGGAATCCGAACTTTCCGTGCCTGCGGTCTGCGATATCAGTTCTCGTTCCACGCGGTTTGTAACAGGAGGGAAAGGAGGCTCCCCCCCTCCCCCGTCCCCCCGTGGTGTTTATCACATATTTTTCATCAAATTTTGCTGTCGCACCCCGAAAGATCGCTCACCCCATATTTTCGACCATTTAGCTCTTCATTTTGGGTGGGCGTTCTTATGCCATTTTATGATAAACTTTATGAAAATGTAGTCCTAAAATAATACTACTGGTGGTCTATATATCCTGTAGGGTTTTGTGTTTTCGGATAAATCCGATAAACTCCGAAAAACACTCGCCGGTGAAGTTCTCTACAATTCAGTATAATCCGAACAGCTCAGAATTTCGAGGTTACGATAGCGAAATAAAAAGCAAAAAAGACTATTTTAAGAATAAAGTTTGTCATAGTGGTCATGAAAAAAGGCAGATTCATTTTTTTTTTATCTTGGACTGTTGACAAAAGGGATTCCCGTTTATCTCATCAATGTTTGCTCAGTACAACGGGCCAATGTACTTCTGGACCACGACAAAAGCCACTGTTCCGGTTTCAGTTTGGACCATACTTTTGTGCTTTTTAGAAAGAGGAGGGGTTGTGTTTTTATCATAGTGATAGACGTGACAGGTGTAGGACAATTTGAAAGCACCGACGTTTATTGGAGTCACACATGTTTTCAAGATTTTCGGTGGGACAATTATATTCGGGGTTAACTTTTCTTTGAATTTTTGAGGAGAGGAGGAGAGCTAACACGCAGCTTTGTTAAGTGCTCAAAATGGGAAAGGGTACGCCTTCCCTCTGACTGCATTGCCAAAATCGCAAGGGCGCTAATGCCAAATGCATCTCTAAGGCCTGGTTCACACTTGCGAATCGGCGGGTGAATCTGCAAGAATTCGGCCGCCGGGCGTAGCGTCCACTGTGCATTGCCGCGGCCGATTTCGCTTCGGCGGCAGCGGATTAGCTGTAAGTGTGAACCAGGCCTAAGAACTATATTTCGATACCGTTTAAAAAAAATAATTTAGTGTACGTCTTTGTCCGGCTATTATTTCTAAAAAAAAAAAAAAAAAAAAACTACAATTAAACTTTGAAATTTGGAGAATTGGAAATGTACGAGAGATAATTGCTCGATAAATCCCGAATTTCCAGCTAAAAATAAACTCCGAAAAACACCCTCTGAATCTAACAAAAAATAAACTTTGAAAACACGAATTCCTAATTATTGGGTAATGAAAACAATTATAATTGAGGTTAGAATTTGACATATAAGATGCCCAACATGGTGAGTGCTTCCCCTTATTGGGCTGCCACATTGCTAGAAAGTGGGACCATCGTCACAAGTGTCACTTTGCTACACTGAAAAGCGCATATAAGTTTATTGCATGCAGTTCACAGGGAAGCACTTTGCTGTATTGAGAAAATGAGACATTTGCCAAATGGAAAACTGTTTATTTGTCCCCCAAAAAGTTGGTACTAAATAATAACTCAATGAATTTTTTTGTTTAATTCTTAGTGTTTAACATTTACACCCTCTTTCTGACTCCTTGGCACCTGTAGCGTGAAATGGATGTCATTTTGCCGTGTACATTTTGCCAGAACATGATTGGACCAAACACCGTGTTAACCTTTCGCATGGCAGTAGTTTCTAAAAATGATAATCACTCGACAGCTGTGCATAGTCTCGCTGGGACTGTGATAGCCACTGTTAGAAAAATAGAAACAAACGTGGCACTGGGTGTCCTATGCAAGTGCACTTTGGGAGATCAGAGAATATGTATGATGAGGACCCTTCAAACAAAAAAAAAACACTTGCTATTCGATGCACTAGCATAAATGTTTCATTTCACGAGTAAATATTGAGTTGCCATTTTCGTGGAACCAGTAAGTAGAAAGATTGTGGCTGCAACCATTTCCAAACATTTTTGCACTGTTATGAGATAATGGTAATACAAGTTGTTTTTTGAGATTCTTCGCAACCTCCACTGAGAAGCGTGTAAATATTAGGCGCTCGCAAAAGACTGGTAAAGAAACTGCTCCATTCACACAAATAAATAGTTGCAAATCTTACATGCTGGCAAATGGCAGATCTTCATGTCGGCTAAACGTTAGCGAAAATCCCCAGGGTTCTGCTAGGAGACTCGATAATCACATGTAGAACAAAAGTGGTAAATGTACCGCAAGTCAAAACTGAAAGTCATCACATGGCATCCCTTTTGGCTCTGAGGGATTGGATGTACTATGTTGGTGACAGGTTAAGAATTCGGGGAAAACTCCTCCTACATCTTTCCACTTAAGCAGAGCAAACGCAGGAGAGGAGGCGACCTCCCCTCCAGCATTCTCTCCACTAAAGTGGAAAGAGGTGGGAGGAGCTTCCCTGGAACTCTTACCCTGTCACTCTCAGGTATTGCTTTAGGCACAGCTTTGACGAGCACTTTGCCCCAGCCTCAATAAAGCGTGGTGCATACTATGCTTCCTCTGCACGTAGATGTCTTACTACGCAGCTTGAAGCTAAATTTGGCGTTTGTCGTGCTGGACACAGTGTTGCGTCGAGAAGGTATGTCCCACGTTACCCTTCTTTCCATAGACTCCAGTTTAAACCAGCTTGATCCACTTCGGTTAGAGTTCAAACCAGTCACTGGTGCTACCCTGGCTCCCCTTTTTTACGGAGTCAGTAGTACTACCAGACGTTTGTTACAAGAGCTCCGCCACTAGCACGGGTTCGTTGCCGCCACTCGATGACTGAAAAGGTCGAGCTTCGGTCGGTGTAGACTTCCCCGTTGGTCGGAACGTGCTGAAGGGTGTGTCGCCGGACGGACGCATACTGTTGTGAAGTTCGTGATATTCGTGGTTCTGCAAAGGAACAAATAAAACAATAATACATTGAGTGAAAGAAGTTTAAATTAAAACATTCGTTTTTTTTATTCATTAGGTCAGTAATCGCCTTCTGTGAGAATTATGTTCTTTTGAGAGGAGATGTTAATCCTTCAGACATTGAAGGGTGTAAGGTCACCTGGTGACGAGTAGCTCATCCAGTGTTTGTATATACTGCTTTTCTAGACATTATTGACGATTTTGAGCTATACCAGTTTGTTGACGAGCCTACGAGAAAGACCAATTACTTTTCTAGTGTGTTCGATTTGGTACGTACTACGCAATAAAGTAGACGCCATTACGTCTACATCCGTCATACCTGGAATAAGCGATCAGGATGCAGCGGTAACTACTGTGTCTTATAATGACACTCCGATATTGTGTATAAGAAAAGTGAAGATCTACGAAAGAGAAGATTGCATTGCAAATTATCTTTTTGACTTTCTTTCCAATCTTGAAGTTTTCAATAATTGTGATGGCATTGACTACTTATGAACTGTCTTGAAAAACAAAATTCACGAGCTGGTTAATGAGCACATTCCTTCGCGTATTACCAGCTCTAGGCGTAGAAAAGGAAAGCCATTGATGTCAAAAGAACTTTGTAAGTTGGCCAACAAACAAAAACGAGTATGTAGCAGATATAAAGCCACTAAAGATGAAATGATTACGTTGAACAGAAAAATATTAAACCTGAGTTTAAGTCTAAGGCAAAGGCAGCGAAAAGTAGATAGATACCTTAACTCATTCGACGGCCAGATGAAAGCAAATCCAAAACTATTGTGGAAATTTGTGAAATCGCAAGAAAACATTAGGAATCCCGCCCCTATATATGGTAGAAGGCTCGTTACTTACTAACGAACGCGCTAAAGCTATTTGCTTTTATGACTATTTTCAGTCTGTCTTCAACCTCGATTTGGCTGAAAAATTTTTGCATTTGATGGGGGTACGTATGATCAAATGCCAGAAATTATAATCGGTCACAACGGCATTCTCGTCCAATTGAACAACCTTAAAGTAGAAAACTTGAACCTTACAAAAGAAAACTGACGGTATTCCGAACCATGTGCTCAAATCATCTTTATTATTTTTACGCGATCATGGCAAAATGGCTCTTTGCCTCAGGAAGATTGGAAGCATGTAAATGTTGTACTAGAACTTAAATATGCTCATAGAAACAGTGTTCAAAATTATAGAAAAATATTGCGGACTAGTGTTTCTTGTAAGATTGTAGAACATATTATTTACAGCCAGTCTGGTCTCCCACTTATATACAAATACCCAGCACGGTTTTCCGGGTCGGATTTTCTTGTGGTACTCAACTGAATTTGCGCGTGACGTGGCACAGTTGGTGAATAAAAAAAAGAAGTCGATAGCATTTTTTTAACTTTCCAAAAGCTTTCGATACGGTCCCACTCTTTTTTTGTTATAGAGAAACTAAAAAAAGAAAAAAAAAAGAAGGACCAATTATTGATGGGACGTGTACCACTGAAATTCAAGCTATCTGAGTGAGCGTAAACAATCTGTAGTTATAAATGGAGTAGAGTCGGCACCAGCAGATGTAACTTCCGAAGTGCCACAGAACTCAGTCCTTGAGCCCCTTCTCTTTTTAATTTTCGTAAATGACATACCACAAGGCATTCGCTCGTACCTACGGCTATATGCTGACAACTGCATTCTATACTGGGAAATCGATTCAGACTCGGACATATTAAAACTCCAAAACTATTTAGTTACAATTTGTTTGTGGTGTTCACGAAGGAGAATGACTTTGAACGTCTCAAAGTGTTGCAATGTAAGGGTTCACGAGAAAACGCATTCATTATCAGTGAATGTACACTATACATAGAAAACTTTTAAACGCTAAAGAATAAGTTAAATATTTTTGGGAGTACATTTGTCTGATGATTTAGGAAGGTCAACACATGCAAATTATGTAACAGAAAAAGCAAGTAGAATCTTGGGTTTTCTACGGAGAAACCTAGAACACACTTGTTTCTTCTTGCGTAAAACCGATCCTCGAATATGCTTGTGTTGTATGGGATCCATACCAATAGTACATGATAGACAAAATTGAAGGAATTTAAAGTCGTGCGGCTCGATTTGTTACAAATAACTATAGTTTTCAAAGTAGTGTCTCCGCAATGAAAAATGATCTGTGATGAAAATCACTTTCCACTAAGCGTAAGAATTTGAGTCTAAAATGTCTTAACGAAACTTTTGGGAGGTTTGTCAAAAATGAAAAAAAAAACAACAAACAAACACATTTGAACAGTTTTATGCATCGCGCAGAGTAGATCACGAACTAAAAGTTCGCTAGTGCACATCAAAATCTGATTTTTTCCGTAACTCCTTTTTCCCACGTACAATAAAGGAATGAAATAGTTTGCCGAGTGAAATTGTGACCTTAGAAAGTATATACCCCGCAACTCCAGCGAGTTATATAGTGTGCCTTTTGCTGCAGCTTATTTACTGCTTCTATGTCAAAACTTCGTGCAATTTTTGAGCTGTGTTTGTTTCGTTATCGAACATTATTATATCTGTTGCAGGCACGTAGCCAGGGGGAGGCCCATGGGGCCCGCCCCCCCCCCCCCCCTTCCCGAAATCTTTCATTTTGCTGGGACCTCCTCTCCCCCTCCCCCTCATACAGCATTTTGTCATGGGTGGGCCCCCGAAACAAAATCCTGGCTACGTGCCTGATCTGTTGTTATATATCTGAACGTTATTATCTATTAGTAGAGGTTAGAAAGTTATATTTGTAAATGTGCCCCCTACTGTATGCCTTATGGGCACTGTAGGTGATAAAATAAATAAATGAATAAATAAATAAGTATCCGTCATCTGGGCTGTAGGACGGGTCCTGGGCATTCACAGTAGCTCTCTGCTGCGAAATATTGGACGCCGTATGCGTCCACAGTCCCGTGATTCGGCAATTTTCACACGATAATGAGCGCTGAAAATGTGTATATAAGAAGAGGAAAGGTTAAATGGGTTTTTATTTTCACGATAATTATTTGGCTTGTTAATAGAAGCTTACTGGAACTGCTGCTTTTATAAATATAAAAACAGACGTTTCATACCACGAAGTGAAATGTCTTTAAATTTTGGACTAGTAAGCTCTCAGGTTGTACAGGGTATCTAATATTAGAACCAGTTCAAAAATATTGTATATCTTACATCAGATACGTCGGGCTCTCTCTGCCTTCGTGATGTGGGTCGCTGACGATTCAGTGTGGAATAGCCATTTCTTGATTCAGCGGCCATACAGCCTATGCTGTTTCTTCGTAGTGTTGCATAAACTGCACTGCCCGAGTCGTCATTGAAGTTGAAAGCAGCAATATCCGCTTCTGTAGTCACCATGTTGTCAGGGGCAACGCTCATGCTCAGTTCCTAATAAAGCAAAACAAGCAAGAGAAAGGCTAAGGTTTTCCAACACTCTCATATCCATAAAAAAAATGAGATATAACAAGAACTAAGATTATATTTTGCCGATATTGTTCGTACCTGTTCCTCATAGATCTTGAGTTTCCTGTAAACATAGAAGTAAAAGTGCGTGTAAATAATTATCAGTCGCAAGATTTTTAAAGCGAAATAGAATTATTCTTACTGTTCTGTCCACAGTGGATTTTCTCTGCAAGCAGATAAAGAAACTCAGTACATCGACAAAGGATATAACGTTAGAAATTTGTAAATCTAGCTTAGTGCAGCTTACGTGGTAGTCACCGGGGGGCTCTCATCTTGACGAACTGCGTTTGTAAAAAATGTTACAAATGAACTTTGCATAAGATAAAACTTTTACAATAACAGAATTTTAAATTAATGCTCTTACCTAAAGCCTCTTTTGCCTTGAATGCATACCTGAAAATAGTGAAGTAAAATTGTATGAGTCTAATCTCATTTTGGGGGTGCCGTATGCTCATTTTTTAAAATACTTCTTTTAAACTTTGTGTGGTGTGTATTGATAGCTTTTTTTATCGCGGAAACAGGCAGTGAATCCAGTTACTGCCTGTTTCGGTTTTTGACGAAACTCCCTCTTTCCTTCTTCTTGTAGTTCTTGCCTGGCAATCCGGTATGCTGATAATAAAATTTGCCGACCTCTGCTATTGACAGCATCAAAGCTCATGTTAATTTAGCATATTTTCATGATTTGTTGACTAAAGGCAGAGTAACCAAACACAAAAATGGTGGAATAGAAACATACCCATATGAACTCAAAATTTGTCCACTAAAAGTAAAGACTCACCAAGATTTCAAACAGGTGCAGCAAACCATCATTGTCACAACACCAATAAAAATTACGACGAGCAATGCAATGAGAACTGCCAGAGCAAGGTCAAATTCTGCTTTCGTAATTCCAGACTTTGCAGGCTGCAAGAAGCAAAATAAACAAAAATCTTACCATTTCCTGCTCAGAACGTAGGTGAACTTTAATCACCACCTGAGAACAGCCTTGAGTTCATTTGTGATTAATAAACATACAGAATGCACATTTCGGAAACATCCCTGACAACACGCAAGTTTTTTTTCTTATTGAATTAGAACTTTTATAAAAGCAGGTCTATTACATATACACAAGTATTCTCCATGTAAGTGTATATGTATGTACACGAGTAAAATGCATAGAGCTGCATGCACTGGCAGGATTTCTCACCAAGACATTGTGGATTTGAAGTTCAGGATTCTGGAACCTCACAAGCTTAATGTTGGAATCAACAGCTTCCAAGACTTCCGGTGTGTGAATCACTCGATCTTTTTTGTCCAAAACATGGACATAAAGGTCCGTCCTGAAAAGGCGAGAGACGAAAATCAGACTAATTTGAGCAAGTGCTCTGACCTACCCACGAAGCCTTTGAAAGAGTTTTAGTTTTTGCTTATTTTCTGAATCGAGAAAACGGTGTCAACTTGCTGCCCTGCTAATTTTATGCAGTGTAAAAATGCTATCGGACCGGTCGGTATTCCGAACCATGCGCTCAAATCATGCGCAGACATAGTGTCTCCTGTCGCGGAAAGGATTAGAACGGGCATGGAGGTCCTTAGTTGTTTCTCCTTCAGCGCGAGGTTACCTTCGGTAACGCTTCGGCGCATCATGAGCCTCGAGCGTGCACGTGCACAGCAAAGGTACGACAGAAGGCAAGGAACGCGTGGCACAATTTATTTCACACGGACGTTTATGGTTGCGGAGAATTTTCGCATTTAGTTAGATGTAAGCGGACACGTTTCTTGTCACTTTTATTAAAAAAATTACGGATCGCCCTTTCGTCTCAACTAAAGAAGATCGCCCTACAAGGGCGAGCAAAATTTACGAGCTAATCGAGCTAACCCAACGGCTCCCCCGTATCAGCCGCTGCTCCTTGCACACCGGTGGAAACCGGTGTTTTGTGCGCAGTTGTGAACCCTGACGGCGAGCGGCACAGCACGAGTATCACGGCATGGAGACACGTGGTTGACGCAATAATCATGCGATGCCACCATGAGCTGGAGATTAGAGAGTTTTCGTAGGCCGTTTTCGCCGTCCCGCAACGGTCTCCGCAACCGTCTACGTCGTAGAGGGCTTCGGAAAGCGTTGCGGGATGGAGAAAACGGTCTACGAAAACTCCCTAATTCCCGCTCATGGTGGCATCGCATGATTATTGCGACGATACCCAGAACTCTACAGCCAAGGCCATCGGCGCTCAGGCGCGCACCAGCGGCTTCTTCGTTGCGGACGGCTTAGCGGAAGGGGAAACGCGATCTACTACAAAAACTCCCTATTGACTTTTTTTTTTCAAAGCAGTTGCTATTTTAACGTTTGTGAAGTGTCTTGGAAACTTTCTAGCTCATTGTTCGCAGTGATGACGGCTTTTTCGTGACGTCATATTTGACGATAGGAACCACCTTCGAACCTTACGTGAAATAGTCGTAATATTTGCTGAAACCAGGGAACAGGTCACCACGAAAGAGAGCGTGCCGGAGAAAGAGATGGAAAGATGAATGAGCTTTCGCTAAAGCCTGAATCTTTTTCAAGCTTTGTCCAAGGTCATGCCTTCCCGGGCAAGAAGCAAAAAGCACAAGGCGAAGAGGAAAACAGATGAAAAATGGGGGAGCAAAGCAAAAGGAAGAGAGCGGCCGCGGTCGGGCGGTCCAACGCGTCGCATCAGCCGCTTCAGGCGGCAGTTTTTGGGCGCAAATATCGAAAAGGCAAATGCAACTAATTAACGAAAGATTATTGAACATATCCCTAAGGGTGCTAAACGGTATCAGCCTTTGTGAACGGAACTGGCGTTCCTGAACGCAACAACCCGGACACGTATAAAACGAGAACGTATCAACGAAGCTCTGCCATCTTCAGCCAAACATTACTCTTCGCAGTGATTTCCCCACCCTCTTTGTTTTTCTGAAGGCAGCCCCTTAATTCGCAACGACTCCCATATTCTCAATGCTCCCCCCCTAAAAATTTAGACATTCCCAACTCATTTCAATTCCTGGGAAAAACCCTGAGCACGAGTTGAATGATCTGAAAATTGGCGATGCATTGTTTGAGCACCCATTGGAAGTGTATTAGAGGTTCACGCTGTTTGTGATGCCATATGCACTCCTGCATTTTTAGAGGGGGCTTGAATATAGACACCGTTTAACTTTAAAGCATCGGAAGCATAATACTAACCAGGACTTCACGAGTTTTCCCTTGTCGTTGATGTGGTATTTCAGTTTGTCGATGACCACTGTTCCTCCTGTAGCATTAGAAAGGACCCTGAAATAAAAACGTTTGCGTTCAAGGACGTTCTCAGGTTATTAACTTCAGATTGGGAAATGACTCCCGGTCTCATTTGTTCTTACGCCACAACTTGCTTCTGGTCGGCGTAGACCTCTTCAGGAGGTTGAGCAATGATCACACGAACCAGTTGCTCAGGCTCGTAGATCCACACCTGAAAGAGTTTTCATAGCTCAATATAATGATCTAAAGATGCAGGTGGAGGAATTTCTGGTGCGAAACCTTTCACTTTCTTTGCTGACAACTCATTTTAGAGTGCAGCTCTTAGGCGCCCGTTTCCGGCCTGAGCGGTTACGCCGTCACCGTCGGGGTAACCGTCCGTTGCATTACGGGACGTTTTCCATAATGACGTTACACGTGACGTCACGTGTGGCGTCACGAGGGTCACTAGCGTCACGAGTGACGTCCCGAGGGAAGAGGGAGGGAGAGGGAGGAGGAGGGGCATACCCTCCTCTCCGTACCCTCCCCTCCTTCTCCTCAAGAGCTGCGCTGTAATTCGGCATTACTGGGAATATTCAACGTCTTTCATATTTTTTAAAGATGAACAAATATAAGATTTTGACGTACTTTGAATTAACTAGCTTTTATGTTCGATTTATACTTCATGAAAATGAAAGACGTTTACAACTTAACTCCCTGTAATGCCGAATTAGAGCGCAGCTCTTGAGGAAGAGGAGGGGAGGGTCCTGAGGGGAGGGTATGCCCCTCCTCATCTGTACCCTCTTCTTCTCCCCTATCCCCTCCTCCTCCTCCTCCTCTCATCTCATTCTCCTCCCCTCCTCCTCCCCTTCGTCCTTCCCCTCCCTGTATCCCCGCTCGTGACGTCACTTGCGAAGGCCCCGTGAAGTGAAGGTCACGTTACCTTCACTATGAAGGTCGTGACCTTCACGAGTGACCATGACGTCACGCGTGACGTCATTATGGGAACCTCCCATGATGCAACGCGCGGGGCCCTCGTGACGTTACTCGTGACTCTCGTGACGTTACTCGTGACCCTCGTGAAGTTACTCGTGACATGACGCGTGACGTCATTATGGAAAACGTCCCATAATGCAACGCGCGGGTTATGAGTGAGACCCGCGCGTTGCATCATGGGACGTTTCCCATAATGCAACGCGCGGGACCCTGGTGACGTCACTCGTAACGTCATTATGGGAAACGGCGTAACGTCATTACGGCGGCGGTGACGGCGATGCCGCTGAAGCCGGAAACGGGCACCTAAGAGCTGCGCTCTAAGAAGATAAGTTATATACTCTTCAAATGTTAGATATCTGAATGATGAATGATTCAGCTGCCTTGTGAAGACTGCAACGAACCACTTCAGCGGATGCAATATTCTTATTATTTTTTTCGTTTCTATTGTTTTATTGTTGTATCTGTTGTCTTTTCACATCTTCGCTATTAGCAGCTTTACTTCCATTTTTGAGTTACTGTACTTCACATGCAGTATTCTCTGTTTATATATGTAGAATCGGGGAGGGGGGCATGGTTTTATGCACATGGAATAACTGACTCCATATTAGCGAAAAAGTCATTTAGAGACGTTTTTTTTATTATTAACCGCGCTACCGGTTGCCTTCTAGCATAAAATGCAAAGCCAGCCGTGGCAGCGATAAAAAAAGAAAGCAAAGACAGTGTTACTGAATATAGTACACATAACATTATAATTACCTTTGACTTATATTTCGTTTCATTCCAGTTTCTTGTTCTTTTAGTAGTTTATTTGTAACATTAAAATTAAGAATTCGCGCACATAACGACTATCTTTTTTACTCTCAGTGTCCGTTTTCTCCAGCCAAAAGTAAACCCTGGCTAATCAGTGAAGGTACCTTTAACGTTGTTCTCGTTGCGCGGTGGGGAGGCATTGTTTCCTTAGCCTCCAAGGCGATGGTGAAGCGCGCTTGACTGTACTGCGCCATGGGGTGGGTGGCGCACACGCGGCCGTCCGAGGATATGTTGAAAGACGCCGGGATGGGCCTGATCCCACCTGTCGATCCCGGCAGAAACAAGGTCACGTGTTCGACCCGATAGGCAACTGGAGCGCCCTCCCTTTGGCCCTCGTCCGGGTCCTCTGCCTTCACTGTGAACACTGTGTCTCCTTCAACCGCTGTGAAGCGAAGGCCTGGAAACCGAGAAATTAGATGCCGTCAATGTTTACGCTAATTAAAGCGTCCGCAGACGGTGAAAGGTCGAGAACCCATTACATGCTGCGTTTCAAGCACGCGCCCGGTGCTTTCTGCCGGGCTTTGACTGCGCGTGCGATTAAGTGTTATCAAAGACAGAAAGCTCCCGCTGGAGACGAAGCGTCTACTGGATTTTTAGCATGTCACCGATTATAGCCTGTGCACTGCACAGTACGAAAATGTCATATCAAATGCCGACACCGCAAATACACACTGCATTCATGGTCGAACACGAGTGCGACACACTGCTTGTAACGCGTTTTCGTTTGCGCTGCCGTTGGCGGGAGGTAATTTTGTATGATTGACGACGTTGTGATGACATGATCAGCTCTGCGTCAAGTAACATATGATTGAAAAATAACGTGATATATCAGCGAGTAGTTATCGGATAAATGGGCAAATTAGTTAAACTTTAGTGGCCAATTACGATATGCGGAAGTGAAGAGGCGGGGTATTTCCACAGAGTGAAAGATAGGTGCACCCATCTACACACTGATGACACATATGAGAAAATAAGTGACTCTCCTGTTGGTCTATATCCTGCAAAATATAAGCTGGTGTCAGTGCCATTATGAAGATTATCTATCGACAAAATGATTGATATAATGATTTTAGGCGAAGTGCTCAAGGTGGAGAAGATTTACGTAAGAACTTCCACTTGAAATGGGTCGGAACGCGCGTCCTCTATGCTACTGGTGGCCGTTGAAAAAATCCGCCTGCTCCGGGATTTGATCCCAGAACCTCTCCAAGTCTAGAGGAGCGTTCTGCCAATTTAGCTACCCAGGAGCTGACATCTTGGGAACTTCCCCTAAAATCATTACGTCAATAATTAACGTCTGATGTCACTCTTGCAGTGGTGATAATCAAGACTGGCAGCAACTGGTGACATCCGTTCGCTCTACTGACTGCCAGCTCCTCTTTAGCTCTGCCGGTAGAGTGACGGCCGCTTGATCCCTGGTAGAGCGCCCTGTTAGTCTTGGAGAAGTTTATGGATTGAATCCCGGAGCAGGTGGATTTTTCCAGCGTCCACCAGTCGCCTATAGGGTGTTTTCACGTGACGTCAATCCGCCATTTCGTTGTTAGTCTGTTTTTCAAACATTGATTGATTTAAATGATTACATTTCAACCTCTTGCGGAGATGCCAGCTTGGTGAAACTTAAAGCTTCTGAGTACTACGCATTTGAGGGGTCATGTGAATTTTTGGAATGCTGGTTTTCGGCACACACCAGCCAGCGCGTAACAACAAAATTGTAGACGAAACTACGTCAGGAAAAACAGCGCCATTAAAAACATCGCACGATTTGCGCTCCATTTCACGCGGAAGTCAATTTATTCTTATCTCTTGACAACATGCATTATACTATAATCAATGGCCGAAGAATAGAAACTGTCTTGCAATGCTATGACTGCGGTTGTTTCGACGAATCAACGAATAAACACAGAGTAATGTAGCCAGCAACTACCTGCAAAGTATGGTGCATTGATGAACTTCGGAGGGTTGTCGTTCACGTCGTCAATGCGGACGTTTACAAGAGCCACGGTTCGGTCCGCTTCACTGTAGCTTCGTATGCTTGGGGCGAGTCCATCGGCATGCCTCTGAAAAAATTTGGTGGCATTCGGTTACGCCCAAAAGTTGATTGAAGAACTTCTGGAATATATTGCCCGCTCTAAGAACAGCAGCAAACACAAACAAACAAACGAACAAATAAACAAAGAAACAAACAAACAAACAAACTTGTTTTCTTTTGGCACCCAGCAAGACGTTTCACCATGCCCAGTGCCACAGAGCACTAAATTCCAAAACTAGAGACTTTTTTTTTTTTTTTTTAAGGTTTGAACATATTTTTACTTTTGTTTCACAGCGAAGCTGTTTATGGTTAGCGTTTTGTGGATTTTTTGTGTTCGTCAACAAAACCTCAGGTCCCGAATTTGATGCAAAATCGCTTCATTCTATGCAAAATCTTATACGTCTCATAACTTGGATACGCATTTTCAGTGGAATAGTTATCAATAGGCATCATTTTCAAGATCACTAGTGTTTCAGGTAGATAATAAATATTTATCAAAGAAAGGCCGCTGTGCGACCCGCGTCGGCCATGTCTACGCTCGCACCGCCCTCTCTTTGTCGTCGTTCCAAGCGCTTGCAACGTGCGCTTCTCCGCAATGCGCTCGGAACACATGCAATCATTTTCTTTCCTTTAATCAGTTGAACCAATACGGAAAGCGCGATTAGTTTCATGTGGCAATGACTGTCCTCCCCTCTTCCACCAATGAGACCACGTGGCTGTTGGAACAGGATAGCAGTCACCGTTCTAATTGGATAAATTGATTAAACGAAGATCATTGATTGGCTACAAACTGTAGAATATTTTAAAATTGACGCATATCTTTACAACATAGTGTATTTTATAGTTAGTAAGTAAGTAAGTAATAGTAATATTTATTTTCAGCAATATTGTGCTGAGGGCACCAGACAAAAAGCTTCCATGAGGTAGCTTGACTGGGCCTGGTGCCCCTGCACTTACTGGGCATTATAAAAAAAACAAGTACTACAGAATACACTTTGACTAAACAAAACAAACACGTACATCTTTTTTTGTTAAACAGTGAATATCATTGTGGTCTATAAGGAACTTGTTAAGTAATGAAGGCAGGTTATGCGCAATAGATTGGAGTGCATAATTTGTACGAAAATGAGGCACGTTCCAGAACTCTCTGCGTCTGACAAGGATGAAGGATTCACGTTTTGTCAGATGGGATACATTAGACAAAAAAGAAGCAAACTCAGCGGTCGAAAATAAATAAGAACATAGCAAACGGTACTCGTATACACTGGCAATCCTCATGATGTTGAATTTAAGAAATAATGGCTCAGTATGAGTGTCGTAAGGCACGTTTGCAATAAAACGCAGCATTTTCTTTTGTAGGATCGTGAGTTTGTTAATATTAGATTTGGTTGTTGTGCCCCAAACCAAATGACAATAGTTAATTTGTGAGCTAAACAGAGCATGATAAATTTGCATTTTAATATTTACAGGCAACAAGGAGCGACAGTGGCATATTATTCCAACAACTTTTGACAGTTTCGTAACTAAGTATTCGATGTGATTATCCCATTGCATATGTTCTGAAAAAATGACACCTAGCGTTTTGTGCTGTTTAACTATTTCAATCTGGTCAGTTCCAATCTCTAGAGTATAATTACTAATAACGTGCTTATTTACAGGTCTAAACAAAATTGCTTTGGACTTTACAGTGTTTATTTTAAGACCATTTATTTTTGACCACGAAAGAAACTTTTCCAAAACTAAGTTTCCCATGGGTATAAGTTCGTCCATATTCGATGCAGACAGAAATATACTCGTGTCCTCTGCATACATTACAAAACGTGCTTGATGGCAAATATTGACTAGATCATTTATATATACATTGAACAGCAGAGGGCCGAGTATGCTGCCTTGGGGCACACCAAACTTCAAGATTTGCAAAGAGGAAACATGATCACTCACGGAGACACATTGCTTACGGTGTTCTAAATATGAATGAATAAGTATCAAAGGCGTGCCACGTATGCCATAACATGAAAGTTTATCAAGGAGCGTCGAATGGTTAAGACAGTCAAACGCTTTGCTAAGGTCAATAAATATTCCCAGTGTCAGCAGTTTGCATTCTATATTGTGTAATATTATTTCTTTCTGTGATATCAGAGCGCTTTCCGTGGATTTTCCCTTGCGAAATCCGAACTGGGAGTCAGTTAGCACTGAGGTCTTCGTAAAAAAATTGTCTAAACGATATAATATAATTTTTTCCAGCCCTTTAGAAAATATTGGAAGAACAGAGATGGGTCTATAATTTGTAACTAAATTTTTGTCTCCACCTTTATGCAAAACTGAAACTTTTGCGAGTTTCATGTTATTCGGAAATTGACCACTCGACAATGCTAAGTTAAATATATATACCAAGAGTGGGGCCACCACATCGATTACGAATTTAACGGGCTTTATTTGTATATCGTCTATGTCATGGCTTTTACTGTTATTCAATCCCATAAATACACGGATCACTTCCAATTCGTCTGTAGGTTGTAGGAAAATTGTGTCTGTTACACGGTGCGAGATAAACGAGGAAGCATGCTCATTGTGCGCGCTAGAAGGCAAGTTAGTAAAATGTCTGTTAAAGAGCTCAGATAGTTGTACTCCTGACACGCTCTCACCAGAAAGTGAAAGTTCATCTATTGAATTCTTCTGCTTGCTGCGTTTAAGCACTTCATTTATCGACTGCCAAACAATCGCAGGACGCTTCTTGTGGGCGTCATGAAAAAGACGTTTGTGATATTCTGTTTTTGATTTTTTAAGTGCAGATGTCAGTTGATTGCGATACCTCTTAAAAACTGCATGGTCACCGTCATCCTTTGAACAGAGGTACTCCTGATATAAGCGATTCTTTTTTCTTATCATTGTTAGAATAGGTGGCGTGACCCATGGTTTTCTTATTCGTTTTTTAGCAGTAACCGTCTTATATGGAAACGATGCGATGTATAGCGTCTTAAAAATATTTATGAAATCATCATATGCTTCGTTCACGCATTGCTTTGAAAAGACAGAAGTCCAGTCTGTTTGCATGACTGTGCTTCGAAAGGACCGCAGTTGGCAGTCGGTTATCGCTTGGAAAGTTACGAGTCTACCGACGCTCCGTGATAAATCACGGGTTTGAAAACAAAAAAATATTGGTAAATGATCGCTTATATCACTACTAATAGTACCTGCACTGCGAACTATAGTATTTATATTGGTAATAAAAACGTCGATACAACTTGCCGTAGAATGAGTAATTCTGGTGGGGGACACAATCACATTGCAAAAACCACTACTACTGAGTGTACTACTCAGTCGTGAAGAAAGAGAAGAGTTTTCCGAACTATTTACATTTAAGTCACCGCCCAGAACAAGTGAGTAGTTATTCAAGGATATGAAATCAAGATACCTCTCAAGAAAAGACAAAAAGTTATTAAAGCTACCAGCTGGCGGTCGATACATAACAGAAAGCAGCTGACGTCCGTGCTTCACAGCTACGATTTCATAGTCGTCTGTAATTTCGGTAAAGGCATCGAGTATTTCGCATCTAATATCCTGTCTAACATAGATACAAACACCTCCCCCTCGTTTTCCGCTTCGATTCAAAAAGAAGTGATTGTAACCCGGCACGATAAAAACATCGTCATCTGTTGCGTACCATGTGAATGATTTAAAAGGGTGCATATTTAAGGCGGTGACTATGTAGCTGTTTGATGTTACTTACCGTGTATACTAGATAATCTGGGTTGCTGGACGCCTTCACAACAAGCTCATACATGTCCTTGATTTCTCGGTCAAATGAAGCGTTTGAATAAATTATTCCTTGCAGTTTGTCAATCGTAAACTCTCTGTTCCAGTTCCCATCTTATAAAAAAATGGAGAAGCAAGCAGTTAGTTTTTCATTAACTCTAGTAAAGGAGATTGATATGGTTACGGTTGAAAATATAAATGGGCGTTTTCATTTCAATTCAGGCACGATTTCAGGGTCCAAACGTTAATTTTTAACAAAAAAGCAAATGTTCTGAAAGCATTCTTCAAATGAAAAAGAGCGGAAACGGTAGCTTATCAGATTTTTCTTTCGAGTTATTGACCACTGAAGAGGCCGAGGCGATTACCGACCCCACCGGTTGGGGATTGCATGTTTGACTGTCACAATTTTCTCAGTTTTCAAAATACAACACTAAGATTGTTTGTGACAGTCTCAAAGTAGATTTCAGTAGGTTTAATGACTTATTTATATTTTAGAATATATTTTTGATACAATATACATTCAATATATGTTTAAAATAAAATATGTTACATACATTTGAATGAACGAATGATTCAAAAATCCAGCAAAATCGGGGCCGATTTTCTTTTAAAAGTCAGTTTTCTATTTGCTTCGAATTTTATTGGTAGCAACCTCTGGTTTGTCAGCAAGTATAAACAGAAACATTGAAGCTTGAATCTTGTGAGTCGTTCATCGTGACTGCGAACTCGCATGAATGCTATTTGGTCAATATCGTGGTGTGGTATAGCTGCTTTTCTAATACAGGACTTCAATTAACGCGTAACCTTAAACATAAGGGAACTTGTGCGCAATTTGGAGTAAAAGGCATTTTACTCCGTAACGAAGCTTGACGTATTACAACCCACATCTGACAAGGTTCAAGCTTTGATTGGGTTTATATAAACAAAATACTATATATTATATTGTTTTCTGATAAACCACTATTATACCTTGCTACTAAAAATAAAGGCAAATAAAAAATGAGGGTTTGGAGAAAATCGATTTCGAATTTGATACATTTTCGAAACACTCGTACTCAAATGTACGAAGACAATTTACTTCGTTCATATAATATCCGATTTTCACTTCCTGAGAATAGCTAGATTTGAGCTTTCTGGTGATGTCGATGTCATTTAAATATTTTAAATAAGTCACATAAAAGCTTGCCAAACTTTGCTGAGAATCATCAAAGGGACCTCGAATTTTTTTTATTTATTCCAAAATATATGATTTTTGCTAGACACTCTTTAAGCCCAATGAAGTATACTTCGAGAGTGTCAGAAGCGAGTCTTAGTGCTTCATTTTGAAAAATGAGAAAATAGCGAGCGATTAAACGTGCAATCACCAACCGGTGAGAAAATATGTTTTATGCCTTCGCCACTTCAATGATCTCGAAACCAAAAACCCTCCAAGCTTGCCGTTTGTTCTATTCTTCATTTCAAAAATGCTCCAAAAACATATATCTTTTGGTCAACATAAAAAATTTGACCCTAAAAGCCGTGCCTGAATTGAGATAAAAACACTCAAATATACACGGTGTCGTGGTTTCAATTCAAACAGATAAGACGCACAAAAAAGGTGAAAGACGAGTGCCGTTTTCACCATGTATTTATTAGGCTCAGCGTACATTAGATGAGGGGATACTCGTTATGGTAAGTTGGCTACTTAACTAAAGTCCGTTAAGTGACTTTTTTATTATTGGTTTTAGGGGGCATGGTGCAGTTGCATTATTGAGGGCAGTTACTATTAGAGGCCAGACCAATTAAAATAATTTGCAAAATGGTATTGGATTTTTAGATGCTAATAAATAAACTTTCACATTTTTTACCCGATTTAACAATTGCGAGGAAAAAGCGCGCCGCAAGCTCTGCAGTGCCCACAATGGCGCTTAGAAGAGTGACATAGTCGTTTCAATCATAACCTCACTATCTCGGTAGCATGTTCTTGGTAGGTACGCAAGCGACACAAGTGACGATGTGATTAAAACTATTACGTCACTCTTTTAATCGTAATTGTGGGCAGGGCTTGGTGCGCGCTTCTTGCACGCAATCTTTAAATCGGGCATATAAAGCGTGAAAAAAAAACTCTACATTTTTTTTAATTCTTTCAGCTGATCAGGTATCTAACTGTAATTGCCATAAATACTTCAATAGCAACATGCCCCCTAAAACCAACCATTAAAACATTAATGAACAAATAAGAGTTACTCTATTTATCACGCCGATTATCCTCTCATCTAATGTCCACCGAGCCTGATAAATGCATGGCGAAGACGGCACTCGTCTAACTTTCACCCACCCTTAAAAAAATCTGTTCGAATTAAAATTAAACACCCTGTATATTTGTCTTTTATCATATACGTTTATTTGACTAAACGGTTATAGAATGTGTTATGCCCAACAAGTCATACATTGCATCTATACAGGGATGGGCAGTATTTGAAATACAAGTATTTGGAATACGTATTTCAAATACTTTGTGTATTTTTAATTTTTATTTAATTACGAATTGGGTAATCTATTTGACGTGTGTATTTAAATACTAAGACGTGGGTATTTCAAATACAATTGTAATTAAATACAATTTTGTGGGCGAAAATACTTCCCTCAAATTTATTGTCACTGTCCAGAGCAGGAAAAAAACTAGGTTCTGCACCGAATGCAGTGTCTCTCAATCAAGCACAAGCGTTTAGTGACTCTGTGATTACGGTGCTAGTCCAGGGCAAGAATAGTGACGAAATCGACGTTCAAAGGCAGACTGGCTAAATAAGTGCCTGTGACAACTTGTGATTTTCATCCATACTTTTGCCTGGAACATTCTAAATGTGCGGGTCGTCCAGATTTCCGTAACTGGTGCGAGTTGCAACAATAAAGAATTCTCTAGCTAGTGCTGCGCGTCTTGGTCGGCTCGGTTCTCTGTTGGTCTACACCAAAATGTAATCGAAAAAAATGCTGCTTGAAGCTTTGTACTTGTTTCACCTATTACGTCCAAGCTGATTACATTTTTTTTGTGATTATATTTCTATTACGTTACTAGAGCCTCGCACACTAACTCTCGAGTGTGCGATGCAAAATTGAAATGAGATACCCAGAATCCCGTTGCACGTGCCCTGAAGTCGCTGACGCAAATTTTGAGGAATGTATTTGGAAAAGTATTTGGAGGAGACCAAATACGTTTGGTTGTATTTGTATCTTGTAGTTAAATGCTTTTTTGGAAATGTAATTATATTTGTATTTAAACATATTTTTGACGAAGTATCTTGTATTTGTATTTCGATACATATTTGCATGTATTTTGCCCATCCCTGCATCCATATATAGCAAACATGTTAAATGTCACGTCATGATTAAAGCTAATGTACATATTATTTGTGGTCAGTGTGCTTTTCAGTTCCGTAGGCATTTTTCAGAGATATATTCGTTTATAGGGAAGTGAAGACTGATGGTAATAATCAAAGTGCCCGTGAAGGAAATGATGCTCACCTATAATGTAGTAATAGACCATTGCATTTTCATTTACATCCCGATCAATTGCCTGAACACGACCGACATGGAAACCTGGGTTTAGGTTTTCTTTGATGTGAAACATGTACGGGCTGCTTTCCTGGAACAAATAAAAGATAAATTGAGTTAAAGCTTTCTACGTACAGAAGTGGGATGTGTAGGCAAAGTAACTATCGTGTTATTTATTATACCTTAGTTCGAGGGAACAGAGGCGCATTGTCGTCAATGTCCTTTAGAACTACAGTAAGAAATCGTAGCGTCTCGAACGGTGCAGGATTTCCATGGTCACGTGCCACTAGAACTAGCTGAAATGGGAATAGAAACAAGATCTTCAAGTTAATTATGATTGACAGAAACTGCAATTGCGAGTTAACAAATTGAATTAAAAAAACAGCGCTTTATAATAAAAATTTTTTATATGTCAATGATAGACATTAAAAAGAGGTCATGCGACTATGGTTATCACGACGATTTTAACCCGAGACCTGCGGCAAGAGTAAAAATGTGTTCAGCGGTAGAAAAAGAAACAGGGGCAGACACGTTCCTAACTCAGCTAATGATTTTGTTTAATCACTCTACTTGTATACCGATTTAGCAAGCCACAAAACTGCAAAACATCTGGGGCGTAGTAGATGTGTATATAAGGAGGGTGGGTAAATAAATTTATTAGCTGAGTTACAGACGTGTCTGCCCCCGTTTTTTTTTCAACCCCTGAACAGAGTTTTTCCTCCTTTTGCTCCAGTCTCGGGTTAAAGTCACCATGATAAATTTCCATCAGCTCGCTTGCGTACTGACCGTATTGACTACAAATAATTTGTTTAGTCATAAGTAGCCTCGCTAAGTTTAATCTAGGCATGCGGAAGTTAGTATAACTGCACGAACGTACTTCATAAGGTCAAACAGTGAAGCCTTTTGATGGCATAGTCTTGCCCCAGATTAGCTCAGAAAATGGAAAGGTAAATTCTGAAGCACACAACATCTACCTATATAAAAATAAATAGATAACTAAAAAAAAAAAAAAAAAAGAAGCATGCTGCTGTTGGTTTTCGCCGATCAAATTTATAAATTTTACACAGATTCGGAAGTTTATGGAAAACCAAGGAGAGCTTGCGTTCGCGCGGACGGTGCTCGGCATTTTGCGACGTACTTTGAAAACCGAATCCGTTGATTACCGTGTATAGTTTAAAATGGCGGAATGAACATTTGGGCCTCCCGACTTCTAATTTTCGTTTCACTATAAGTCAGAGCGCAGCCGAGGTGTACGGGTCGCAAGGGCCAATCATGCAGCGCCAAAAGCGCAACGTCAACGCGTTGGTTGTCTTTCTGTGCGTGCTCATTGGCCAGCTCGCGCAACCGAGCGCAGTGAGTTGGCCGTGACTTCGCGTTCTTCATCTTTCTGTGTGCGTTTGAGTGTCTTTATGGGCTACCGGTGATTCTACGATCACTGTGCAGTTAAAGAAGCGCAGGAGTCGCTAATGTTCACTCTTGTTTTTCGATTTCTTTTTCGACGTTCTTAACGGCTAATTTCGTAATCTCATTGGCTGCGTAGAAGTCTGGCGTTATGACTGCGACATACAGGATAAAGGAAAAATATATAATGAACAAATTTAGTAAAACCATAAAAGTATGTGACTTATGAATTGATCAAAGACAAATCACTCAGATCGACATAACGTGCGATTAGAACGTAGCATCAGCAATGTCTCTGATTCCTCGCAACTATTTTAGTTTACGTTTCAGTGATTAGCGCTAGTTTTCGCGCTAATGACTGGTTTTCGCAAAAAAAGTTATGTTTTGTACATAGTTTATACGTTGCACAAAGTAGTCCTTATACACCTTTCCATAAAAACATATGAGGGCGCCTTCATCGCTGTGTTTGTGTATAATGCGCGCGCACTTTCTGGCTTGCCGCAACTGTTAGCGAGCGCTGGTTTGATTGTGATTTAGCACGTGTGGACTATGACTTTCGTAAACAGTGGAAATGTGCATAAACCTTTTCAAAAAAGGGCTCCTGGTCGGTTACATTTTTAATGTTCGTGCGCATGGCGCGTGATTTGCTCGCTTTCTGAAGCGAAGAACGTGCGCGTTGCTCGGCTGAGGACTTGTAAATATTGGAATGGCGTATATGCCCACTCAAGCCACAGACAGCAACAACCGACAGCGACCAACCTCGAACAGCACAGCATGTACGCGGGGCTATCCTTGGCAGGCTTGCGGTTACTCGATCGTGCAACGAGAGATTGCAAGCCTGCCAAAGATACCTTCGTCTGCATACTGCACGTGCTGCTTAAAGTTGGTCGCTGTCGGCTGTTGCTGTCTGTCGCTCACGTGAGACTATGGCATTGCAAGATTTAGATTTGAGACAAAACAACAACAATACTGTCCGCTTTTTAAACGCGTACGTTTTGATAAAATAAGAACACGTACAGGTATCTCACTTTACAACATAAAGGGGACTTCAATAGTGCTTCGCTTAGAGCCTCTTTTGCTTTACTACGATTCTTGGAGAGAAAACAAATGCAAAACTCGAAGCACGCATACAAAAAAAAAATATATAATATATAAAATGTCGTCATAGAAAAACTGCAAGGGCAGGGCTTCCAGACTCGAAAAAACAGGCCCAGGGATACTGGGTTCGATCCCCACCCCAGCCCGTTTCGATCGGCACGAGTGCCTGCATGCGATCGCGTATCACTACTGCCCGATGCAGGTAAAAAAGACCCAGACACTGGCTGAAATAGCGGAATCACCGGACGAAGGCTGACTCTTTCCGCTGCTACCGAAAATACAGACAACACAGTTTTATGCAAAGTTAAGATCAAGAGGTGCTCGTATCGGATGTTTCTAACGGTCACATACCTCATAGCGTGGTCTCAGTTCCCTGTCGAGGATCACTTTGGTCCTGATTTCCCCCGTCATTGGGTCGATGGAGAACTGGTCCGTGTCTCCGACGTTTCTGTCCCCGACTTTGAAGTAGTACGACACCAGGCCATTGTCACCGTGGTCCTTGTCCACGGCTTCCACCGTCATTATTACGTCATCCGACTGCGTCTGGTTCTGTAAGATCACAGTCGTTCGAACATGAAGATGAAAATCATAGAGTATCATGTAATGATACTCTATGATGCAGTACACATAATCTTATTCAAAGCTTGTAAAAAGTAATTCAAAGTGTCTGGTTATATTTATGGATTCACGGGATGGCTGATACACGCTAAAATAGTGATTAAACTTGGGAAAACACTTTTACTTAGGGGAAGAGATGTTAGAGAAAATCTGGTAGCTCGGTGAACCCTTACGGGTAGATTAACGTAGAAGTTTGGGCTAGTTGGCAAGTAGACATGATAAAAACAAAACAGCGCAAAGACAAGGACGAAGTAGAAAAAACCTTGTCTTTGCGCTGTTTTGTTCCTATTATGTCTCCTTACGGGTATTTTGAAGATCCCCCACATCTCCGAGACACCGTAGCTACACCATAGGCATGTACTCGAAATAGCGTAGTACATGATGAGAAAATAAGCGCGATGTTAAAACAAAACAAAGCAAAACATCTTCACTGATCAAATAGACCGTAACTGCAGCGAAATATTTTCTCCTCGGTCAGAGACTACTTGCTGGCCTAACCATGCAGGTGTACTGTAAAACTACTAGGAGCAGTGTTTCGTGCTGCGATCCCGATCTTGATTGAAAGAGACGATGAATTGGCGCATAGGTTCTCTCAAAAATTAATTGCGTGTGGAAGCATATATACAGTGATATTTTACAACTCAAACTTGTTTTCCAAGATGTTATATGGTTGCTGTCGGCTTAAGGAACGCAGGGCACGCCGAGCACCGTGAACCTCATTATCACTCCGCACTGCGCGGCCAATGAGAATGCTGGATTAGCCGATAAGAAAGCAGGAGAACCAATTACGAAGCCTCGAACGCAATAAGTAACACTTTGCGTTTCTCAAGTTACCAGTGATTATGGTACAGATCTTAACTACACGAACTGACCTCAGGAATTTCGACAGTAGCGTTTGGAAGTGATGGCGTAACAAAGTGCGGCTTGTCTAAGTTGATCTCAATCAACTTGATGAGAACGACGCAGCTGTCTGTGTTGGGACCTGTTCCGTTCCCGTCTCTTGCTTCGAGACCAATGCGGTATTCCTTGCGATAGCTTTCCAACTTTTTCACGGGGTACACTATGCCGGTCTTCGGATTGACCGCGAGCACACCTGAAAAAAAAAATTTTTTTTGTGACACGTGAGTTTGGAGACGATCCTTGTCATTGCGCGTTCCAAAAAATGCAAAAGCATTCCCACACGCAGATTATTCCTACAAGCAGCGCGCCCTGCTGTCCTCCGCAGAGGCCGACTGGGGCGCCTGGCTGGACGAAGGCTTCTCTGTGGGGTGGCGTTCCTTGGAACTATGACGCGTCGCAGCCAATGGGAATTTAGGTGCCGTTTCGCTCAGCCAATGGGAAAATTGGAAAATGGGAATTTAGGTCCCGTTTTTCGCGGTTACCGACGCCGCCCGCTTCGCTCCATGGGATAGTTAATGCTTTCGAATTAACAATTTATACCTAAATCTCATTAAAAAAAAACTTTTAGATTTGAGGAAAAGTAAAAAAAAGGACGTTTCGCGCCTGTCAATATACCAGTGTACATTTGTTTAACAGTCAACTCCTTACTGAGCTACATGTAATATAATATAATATCTATAATCATTATCGTAATATTTTGATGTTGAAAACTACTCTTCATTATTACATACACTACATACACATATCTTTAAGAGTAAATTAGAAATAACGTTATTTCTCGATGCACACCGTTCATACGGATTATAAAGTGCCCAGTTAACCCCAACTTAAAACATAAATAATCTGCAGATTATTTGACGTTAGATTTTGAGTAAAACCTGCGGTTGTTTTCAGAAACAACCGGAGATTGTATATACGTATATTTCACGGCAAGAGTTCTTCGTATTATTTCTGATTTCTCTGAAATCCATTAGCTACCCTATAGCTACATAAATATGGCTTTTCTATTGTGAACAAAACGCCTTTCACTCACCATTTTCATTTCCAGCAACGATAGAGTATCGAATTTCGGCGTTAATTCCTTCATCAGCATCTGTGGCGAAAACCTGAACGATGCTCTGTGCAGATTCCAACGGACTGTTAGCCACAAATGACGCCTCGTAGGTTTTCTTTGAGAACACTGGCGGGCTATCATTGTCGTCGAGCAGAGTCAAATAAACCTGGAAAAGAAGTCCTTAAGAGCTGCCCATCTCGCAAATTACATATATTGTGACTGCAAAATTATTCTAAATTATGCAGTAAATTTAACGGAAACGCAGCTAGGCCAAACTATTTCTGCAAATCTGCACATCGCACGAAAAACAGTTGATGACGTACTGGTCACAGCCAGAGGACGTACCTAGAGATAGACTTGGTGTTGAGGATAAGTATTTGAGTAACTAATCTTTTTTCTTAGTAAAGACGACGCTTCAATCAGAAACTTGCTACGGACTACCGATAACTGCTAAATACGTAACGCAAAAAAATGCTGCTTTTTAACACATAAAAATAAAATATAATTAATACCTATTCCCTGGTAGTGGTAGTATAAGACAAAGGTTTTGAAAACGTGTTGGAATGGCTGCATCTTTACGACAGCAGTCAATAGGACACCAAAATCGCTTTCAAGGAGCGCACGCATGCTTCAATAAAGCTTTTCAAAGGTGACTAATTTAGCGGCTTTTAAATTATACTCCATAAGTTTGCAATTAAAACTATGCATTTATTTTTGCTAATTAAAGGAAGTTAATTGTACAAAAATACTTATCTTCTTTGTTTTTCCATGCGCTTTCCGCCTCCAAATAAGCTTGGCACTGAACAACACGTCATCTATTTTTTTCTTTTTGTATATGATGCGTTATAGTTTACGGAAGAATATTGTGGCCTGCGTTTAGCGAAAATTTCTGTTTTTCTGATTTGATGAGGCTCAGTTTTACTAGTAAAAACAGGAGAGGTTAATGCTTTATTTTTATATGTGTTTTAATCACAAAACATAATTTCAAATATTCCAAGAGAAGGGACAATGCATACTTAATTTTAGAGTGCTACACTCTAAAATTAAATATAGCAAGCACAATAAGTGTGTACATGTGCAATGGCGACCAAAATGAAGTCTAGTTTCTGCTAGCGAATAGTAAGATATCTAAATCATGGTGTTTTTTCACAGTACTAATTATATGCTTTCTTACCGGAACAGAGACTGAACGTCGGGTGCTTTTGTCGTGACCCATGTCAGAAGCCACTACTTGGAGAGTAATAGCTGTGGTGACCTCTCTATCAAGATTCGCCATTCCTGCCACCCTAATTTCACCCTGAAAAAAAAAAAAAGAAAAAAGATATACACAAATTTTAATAACTGTTGTTTATTAATATTGCCCAAACTTGGTGTTACTACAGTACACACTAATGCTAATTATTATTAATATTGTTTTTTTTAATTTTGTCTCATCAAGGTTGTGTTGCTGTGTCAGTCTTTAGTTAAGCATTTGCCTTGTTTTGTTGGCCTTCCTTAGCTAATATCTATTCATGTTAAATCAGGGATAAGGAACAGGGCATGCTCCTCGCTACGAGAAGATGGACACGTATACGACAATCATTATTTAAAGGAAAAACAAACAATCTTCTGTTCTGCTGTTTGTAGCAGTAATTGGTGCTAAATTGCGAAAGGTAGGTAACATATTCGCGTGCTTGCCCGGACGCAAAAAGTAGCAGTTTAGCGAGAGCGCTCGCCTGCTGGGGTATCTAACAACGTGCAAGTGCATGCTTATAATAACTCAACCCAAGGTAAACGAAATTAAATAGACAATTAAAATGACGTGTTCCTAATATTCAAACCTTTTTAGTGTAGGATAAGAGGGGCACCGCAATACGTAATATACAACCATGTTTTGATAACCTGCATGTGGAAGTTTATTATAAAGAACACATTAAAAGAATGGACATTTAGAACAAACAAATTTTGTACAACGTTTTTTTTAGTAAAATAGTATCAATACACTTGGTTCTCTGGTTGATACGACACCTATGCCGAAATAACTACCCTTAGCTTAGAAAAACCACATACCTTGTCATTTATGTTGAAGTCTGTATTTTTTTCACCGATTAGTGAGTAAAAGACGAAACCAAACTCGCCAGCATCAATATCATTTGCCTCCACCTTAGTGACAAACGTGCCTTGTGGTGCGTTTTCTTGAACTGAAGCGTGGTAAGCTCTCTGCAAAAGATAATTTGAATATGCGACTGTTTCTTGGATTTTTGGCATGTTATGTGGGAACATTGTTTTACACATGTAATTAGTAATTAACCTGTCCTATATCTTGAAATTATAATTACATCTCGTGCACTACAGACAAAACCGTGCTTTTTGATAAAAATAAATGATGCCCAAGCAGAGTTGAAGCAAAACATAATATTCATTTAAAAATACAATAAAAATACGAGTGAACTATAGAATTCCAATACAAATGCCAAATAACTAAAGATAATACCTTTAAAAATTATTTTATTTTATGACACCCCGGTTGATAGCTAAATTTTTACGGCAACAAAAAAACAAAAACAAAAACAAAAAAAAAACACGTTGATTTCGCTTGTGAATAAAAAAGTTCAGAGGCTAGGCAAGCGAACGGTTTGCAAACTTATGTATAACAGAGCTGCTCGTGCAGATTGGTAAAAAATGCCTCTCTACCTGCGAAAATATAGGGTCGTTGTCATTGATGTTGACAACGTTCGCTGTGACCAACGCTGCTGCTGACAACTGTGGAATTCCAGTGTCTCGGACGACGACAGCAAACCTCAGTTCTTGGACTTGCTCATAGTCTACCCTATCTTTGATTGTCACCACACCTGAACAGAGAAGCACGCATAAACTATACATATGTGAAATCATAGGAGCAATGTCGTAGATCGCCGATTGTGTGTTTGAAACGTAGTAAGTCAATAGCTTTCATTTAAAAATTGGCTGCGTCTCTGGCACCTCGCAAGGGTATTCCAAATGCGTAACATTTAGGAGGCCTCTTCGCGCTCATGCTTTAGTGGGCGCACTAAGGAAGCCGCTGAAAGGCATATTCTAGGGGTTTTGTAGATGTATAAAGCAGTCAGGTGACACCTGGCGCCACAGTGCCACGTGACGCAATTTCACGATGTTACGTGGTGTCATGGTGTCACGTGCCGTGACGTCACGGTGTCTGATGTCACGGCGTTGTTATGATGTCACCTGATACCACAGTGTGACGTGACGTCATAGCATCAGATGACGTCTCCTAGGACTTATAAATGTTACGCACTTAGGGTAGCTTTGGGTTGACATCCCACTGGAACGTGACATTGCGACGTTATCGAGGCCAAATCCGCGGACACAAAAACCTCAATAACCAGTCCTATAAATATGATGCGTATTAAACAGAACAAAAAAAAAAAAAAAAAAGGGGGGGGGGTGCAATTCTTACCCGAGAGCTTGTCGATAGAAAAGTAACGATTCTCAGGTTCGATGGAGTAACTGGCAATATTAGAATCTGGGTCGGTTGCCACGAAGGAGGCAACCACGCTCCCGATGGGTTGTTCCTCCATGACGCTGATCGACAGTTCCGGGTGGTCAGGGCTCCAGGGGGGCGGAAAAGATGGCGGGAAGTCGTTCAGGTCCACGATGGTCACCACCAAAGTGCCTGCACATAACACACGTGGGATAGGTCGATCAATAAATTCTAAGCTCACGAAAGTTCTACAGCGCCTTAATTAGAGCCACCCCTTGAGGTGGAGGTCATCATTATTAGCTTTCAAATTTATCCAGATTAACAGGTTTGTGAATGCTGGTCTTATAGTCTTTTATTTGCATATATTAAGGTTCGTCATTTGCCGCTGTTCACACGTTAATCTGCATTTGTACATCTTTCCCAACAAACGCCCCATAGCAGAGGTCATCAATATAGAGCTTGGGGCAGGGCGAAGAGGAAATCCGAATGAAGGGGAAGCAGAGTGAAGGTGTGGTTCCACTCTGACACTTACCGCCGAATTCAGAAACCTCACTCAAACTACACTCAAACTGAAGGGCCCCTCCACTTCCTCGAGGAAGGCGCGAGGGCCGGCGCTCGCCAATCGCGAGGACGGATCCGCCGTCGCGATTGGCCAGCGCCGGCCAATCGCGCTTTCCTCGAGGAAGTGGAGGGGCCCTTCAGTTTGAGTGTAGTTTGAGTGAGGTTTCTGAATTCGGTGGTTACCCTTGTTAGCAAGTGTCATGCACCACCACCAGATGGAGCGCGCGAGAGCTCTCTTTTTTGTGTGCTGTGTTTTCTTCTTTCTCCTCGTTCGAAGTTAGTCCTCATAAAAACAGCGATGTGACGCTATGGAGGCTACGTCTCGTTCCTCCTCGCCAGACATTTCGTTTATTCCCATTGCGCGCCGCGACCCTGCATATACTTAATAACCAACAACCCTTTCATTCTCGGTAATTGCACGAGCGCAATTTCGCCATGTATTACGACACGGTATAACTTGCTTTAACTGAATTTTAATTTGGGTGCATCGCAACAGTGTGAGTGAATAAGTAATCCATCGTAGCAAGCGCGAAGGAAAGTGACTCACCGAAGCCGGTTTGCGCTGGAATGGCGCTCACGTCCGTTACGACAGTAGTGAGCATGACCACGGCAGCGGCGTCTCGGTTTAGACGGGAGGCCACTCTTACTTCTCCCGTGTCTGCGTCTACGTCAAAGAAACCCTTCAAAAGGAAAAAGAAAGGAGAAAAAAGGTTGGGCACTTGACATAAGGCCCCTGAATAAGTAAGGTAGCGACATTTCCCTTCTCCTCGACGCGCACATTTTTTTTTTATTTATGTATTTTCTTTTTTGCAGTCGGTATCACCATAATGGTCCAGCCAAGGAAAGATACTAAGACCCGTGACGGTGTGCTTCTGGTATCTCTTGATTGGGGCCATCGGCTCGTAGCCTTCAATGATGTCCCTACTTTTCCTTATAGATGGGTATTAACATATACGGATTGTAGTTCATTCCAATATAGATTGATTCAATCATTTTTTTCACGAACAGCTCTAAAATTTTTGAAATTGTTAGCGATGAGGCCAACCTTGTAAGCTTGCATGGACCCATTGACATTTCTCCCATCTTTGGCAATGGCTGTGATGGGCTCTGCGATCCCATACTTGAGGAACTCCCTTGAGCTTGCATCAGGATCTTTAGCCATCAGTACATAGAAGCCATGTCCAATCTGAGCACCTGCAAGAAGACCACGGCTTATCTACAAGCAGAGGTCGTTGGCAGGGCGCCTCAAACAAAGGCTGCCATTTTTTTAATTTGCGTCTGGACATTCCAGAATAGGAAGTCTAGTTAAAATTGAGAACATAATAAAGGCTCGATTAAAACATGACAATTTTCAATTCCCGGGGGTTTCAATTCTATCGACTATTAAAAGTATATTAGATATGCTGCTATATATTTTCTAAAGATACCTGAAACATAAAAAAAAACTTGCTATTTTAACGAAAAAAATGCAATGTAGGTAACATTCACTGTGCTTTTCTGTGCTACGACTTTAATACAAAAACCAAGAAGAGTTATCCACATGAGTTCCAAGCCAATTCACTTTGTTACATTTTCTTCCACAAAAATTTTAAACAATCACGAAAAAAGAAACCATAGGCAAAATGTTGCCCAGTGCTAGCACAGAATGTGATGCAGCGTCGAGCTCGATGCGATAGCAGCGCAACCGTTTTTGGCGCCGCGTTAACTCTGAGAACGAGAAACACAGGGACGGAAGGATCAGGGTACCTACATGTCTGTTTGTCTAAGGATGAATGCATCATTTGTTGCACTGAGTGCGCCAGCGTGTGACACGCTGGCGCACTCAGTGCGTGACTTTTGTGATGGAATGGCGTCTAACCATTAGCAAAGGTTACGCTCTCGAGCGGGGTCAAACCAGTTGGCGCGCATTTCGAAAAACATAAAAAAAAAAAAAGCTTTCAGTTTTTCCATTCTGGTGAAGAAGGAAGACTAGTGGAGCTGTACAATGGAAAGTAATGGCCGGCCGCAAGTCAGCAAGCCAGAGTGGAAAGGCTGACGCCATCTATGAGCGACGGCGGCAACCAGATACGTGGCTTGCCGCCGTCGCTCATAGATGGCGGTAGGTGTCCAGAGTTCGGTGTCATCATCTCTTTTCGGGGGACACGGTTCTGGGGAAACTAGCCCTTAGCAGCTTTGTTGTAACGATCGGGTAGAAAAATGGCTGAGATACGTAACCACTGAAGCAAAAACGCGTGTTTGTATGAAGGGACTCTAAGAGAGATGAAAAGGCAGCGTCGCGCTGCGGCTTCTCCTAAACAGTCCTATCAAAAAAAAAAAAAAAAAAAGAAAAGAAAACGCATTAAAGCGCAAAAAAAGGACGCGTGCGCTTCGCAGGAAGCTAGGCCGTAGCCAGCTTGTTTAGCGCGTTCACCCTCAGCCTTCAGCGGGAAGTCGCTGGCCTCCGCAGTGCTTTGGTGGCGCGTGGCTGGGCGTTCACACCAACGAGGTAGAGGGGCTTAGAGCGATAAACCGGGGTTCCGGTCTGCACTGGAAAGTGACCCCCATAAGGAGGCTGCCATTGTACGCAAATTTGACCACACGTCACATGACCAAACCAAATACGTGACGTCACAGGAAAGATGGCAGCGCCCATGCAGCGGCTGGCCGCAGCTGGGCCGGAGCTTGTCGGATGCTTTGTTGGTTGCCGTTCGTCTCGGCGAGTTGATTTCAGACGCGGAAGCCGTCATATGAGGCCGGTCGAAAGCGAGTTCAGAGTTCAGCGTGGTGTTTGACGTAGGTATAACGTGAAAATACAGAGAAACGGTGTGCATTTCGCTGGTGATTGACCGGGATATTGCCACGGAAGAGACAATCTGACCTACGTTGCTCGGACCTCGGATTGATTCGGATACCGCTAGGATAAAATTTAAGGCGACGTTTCTGTGCTCTCGTTGACCATCGGAATCTTCGAGGTTTGCAGTGAAGCGTGTGCAATATATTTGGATACACAGTTTAGCGACGGAAATTGCGTGAGTCGTGCTTGGCGGTGTGCAATCGTGGTGCAGCTTCGATCAAATGACCGAGGGCTCACTTCGGTTGTGCGGCGCACCGGAAGGCTGCCTTGAAGCTGGTAGTTCCCGTGCCGTGCTGAATGATGCTGTGCTGCTTACAAATTGTTCCGGCGTAGAAGTGCACTTTCCAGGAGCACAGGTGTGCGGCGCACCGAAGAGCTGCCTTCAAGCTGGTAGTTCCTGTGCCATGCTTTAAATGATGCTGTGCTGCTTCCGAAATTGTTCCGGCGTAGACGTGCACTTTCACGGAGCACAGATGTTGCAGTTGGCATTGATCCCGCTGGTCTGTCGCACGTTTCGTCAACACAAACGTTTCATCCACACTCGTTACGCGAATTGCAAGCTGCCCGGACATTTCATCAAGCGTGTTACGTACCCAGCTCACGCCGCTTTGTGGCAACAGTCTGCAGTGGCTCATTACCAGAAAGGTCCCACATCCATTTCAGTTCAGTTCGTCCACGGCAGTCGCCAAACCCCGAAGGAGAGGATTTATTCGGACAGAGTGCCACTAAAGCAATGCAGCTTCTTCAGTGGTCAGGATAGATTCTCTTCTGCTAGTTTTTGTTATACTGTCACGGATCCTTGTTCCAGTCCTATCTTCTATCAATATTCACTATTCTGGGACACTGCAGGTCATGCTCAGCTGTAATCGTGTGTTCAGGTGGAGGTGCTGGGCACTTTACCCGTAGCCCTTCACTCTGTGTGAACCCGGCGGCTCTTCAGCCGAGTTACCCGATAATGGGACACGGCTGGCGGACTATTCTGCGTCTTATACCCCTGTCGAGCCGTAGGCAAAGTCCTGACCCGAGCCTGGCAGAACAACCGCAAGACGACCGAATACCACAATGAGTAATTTCGAAAATACACCACGAAGCACCTGAAATCCGAGCCAGTTGCTGCTACCAGGAAAAACCACCGGAATTCGGTCTCCTGTCAGAAAATCCGAAGCTGACTAAGCCAACAATGACAAACCTGTAGCAGGAAACCGTGTCCCCTCCCACCATTGTTTGCATGCCCGTCGCAAATCACACTCCGACGCTTTTTCACGCAAGCTGTATGAAGACGTCAAGGACTGGATTGAACAATATGACAGTGTCGCCCGCCACATTGGGTGGACAGACAACCAGCTCCTGCAGAACCTATACTTCTCGTGGAGGAAACTGCCGGCGCTGGTCTGAGAACCATGGATCCTCCTTAACGTCATGGGAAGTTTGCAAGATCGAGCTGAAGCGCACATTCGTCAGCCAACATCAAGGAGAGAGAGCCGTATTCTTGATTCTGTCCAGGACACGGCCCCAAAGAGAGCGCCACCGCACTCGTGGAGGATGTTTTGCGCTTGATCGAGCGCCCACGCCCACGCCGACCTTGATGCTTCAGAAGACAAGAACCTAAGATTCCATGCCCCTCACGTGAGGGACAACACCTTCGGCAGCCTTGTCCGCAACCCCCAACAATAGTCGAAGTGTTCATATCACCAAGGCTTCCAACATGGAATGTGCACTGCATGCCCGAGCCTGCCACTGTGAATAACTTCCCGGCGTCTCGACACTCGAGTTGTCCAGCTACTACTTCGACGCCAGCCTCCCAGGCATCCACGACATCATCCACGACGTTGTCTGGGAGGAGATCAGGAAGCTACTTCCTGCCATCAGTCGCCCGGCTTTTATTTTGATTGCCGAGAGTGTTTCGGAACAAGTTTGACAGGTATTTCAACCGAGACTTCTGCGAGCGAAGCGGCATCTGACAAACCAAGGGCAACTTACGCCACAATGGCACGACGACCGCCACCGGCTGCCCCTTAGTATTCAATGCCAATTCAGTGAGACACTCTAATGCCGAAGCATTCCCGACATCGTGTGTAGGTCTGTGCTCAACAATGTACACCGAAGAAAACTTAGGTGATGCGAATGTGCGACCGAAAACCACTTTGCTACCACTGCATGAAGCCGACCATGTCTACCAATGCAGCCCGTACCAATGAATTGGTCTGCGAGGGTTCGTGCCAAATGACCCTCGATCACGTCTCGAGGAGCGACCACGGGAGATTAAGGATTACCTTCGGCGACCTTTGTCCCTGATGCCGAAGGTGCTGAATCGAAGATTCTGAATCCCTGATTACCCCGAAGCTCCTCATGTCCATCACCTCAACAAGAGGTAAGCACGACAAAGCAGGTGAGCGGCGATGCTGTGACAGTGGATTTGGTGTCGGTTGTCGTCCAAGGACAATACCTAAAAATTTGCTGACACCAATTTTCTGTGTCCACTCCACGAAGCACACAATTTCCAACTTTGAGGGAGAATGCCCCTGAGTGACTTGAAGGAATAGAATGGTTGGTTGCTCTCAAAAGTGAACTGCAAGCATCACCAGACTTGGATAGCAAACAAAAATTGTTGCCAGCTATCAAGTCAACTGTACAGCAAAAGGCGCAGCCACGTAAGCAATACATGCCCGAGCTTGCTGCATTGATGCCGAAAACTACCAGGAAAATTTTCGGATTAGAAGCCAGCCCTGCAGCTTCAGTGCATCAGACGTCAGTGGCCGCACATGACGTCTGATTACAAGACTGAACACCGACGTGCCAGGAGCGTCATCCGACAACAAGGTCCACAGGTACTACGACTAAATGGCTGACACGAGACTGTCGCAGAAAGAACTCGTTATGGAACCATTTCCTAAGAATCAATAATTATGTAATCAAGTGGAAATAAACATATTTGATACACTAACTAGATAAACATATTTCCGCTTGCCTTCATGCCTTGAGAGTCTACACACCGAGAATTGTGTCCACTGCACGCTCTGGACCTTGCGAGGACACTCTCATCTCTGACCCTTCAATATTAATTAAGGGGTCATACCAAACTGGCAGACTTCTTGCAAGGGGCTGCACTAGTTCAACCTTTCCTGAACATCTGGTGCATCCGAAAACCAACTCCAGTGATGTGAAAATGTTATTTATTAATTTATTCCTTCCAGGGGCCTTCGTAGACATTGCAGAGAGGATACTTAAAACTACACACATGATAATAGCATTAAAGCACACTGCTGTAACTTGTTAATTGGAAAAACAAACACACCTCTGAGCATATAGTTTAATAGTATGTGTTGATGCATTGTTATATAGCATGACACTTCCTATATGTATGACACAATAGACCCTTTGCAGAACCTTATCAAGCAACACAACTGTCACCATTTTTTTCGGCGTAAGGCACACGAATGGGCCCCAGTTCACGTCGAACGCTAATGCAGCATTCGAGTCCAATAGGTGCTGAGCCGAATTCACAGGGATGGCGGACATAACATTCTTAGTGAAAAGACGGTGAGAGTGCAGGCGAGCTGGTGGTAGCTAATCATGTCGTATTACACCTGAGACTGCGGTGGAAGAATCGGAAGAACTTTCAGTAGAAGGAACAGACACAGAGAACGTCTCAAAATTTCCTCCACTGCAGTCTCAGGTGTAATACGACATGATAACATTCTTGTCGAACAAATGCCCAAAGTCTGAAAGCCCAGGGTAATTACAGTAGTAGCTACTGTAATTTGTTTCATCAGAATTTGGCAGACGGCAAAGGCTACGGTCTCGGTGAGTCAATACACACATTGGAGAGAGGCACATGACAACATATCACCAGAGTGCTCGTCTGCACAGATTTGTCACACACCTTCACTCCGTCTCTCTGATTGGCTCGAGGGGGCTGTGGCGGTTGGCCTTTTCTAAGTTACGGTGATGCGAAGTATAGACAGCCCACACTTTTAAAAAGAGTCTATTGAAGAGACCGAAAGGAATGGTAGTCAACATTTTTCAACAAGACTGCTCTCCAGGCAAGGGATGAACACAAATGTGAATCATCTTATGCAGGTAATTAGAACAATTAAATAATTGACCGACTAATACAATGCACTCTTGATGGAAAAGAGTATAGCTGCAATAAATCCTACAAAACTGAAAAAATGCGCAGTTAATCTATGCATGCACCAAAACACTTGTTCTTATAGCAAGCCGAATAGCTTTGAAGCAGGTGCCTGCAACGATTTATTCTTCCCCGTACTCAATAAAACGCCATCCTCGTAGCTGAAAATAAGGGTGCACTTCGCACTCACACACACAAAAAAAAAAAATAAAAGGAAGAAAAGCGATCGAATGTAGAATCGTGGATTAGCACAAAAGAATCGCAGGAGCTTCCTCGCTAAAAGTTGCTATGGTTGTTCGGTGACGGAGGGCTGAAACAACTTCCCTTAGGCCCTAACGCGACGTATACATTTCGCGTAGATTCTCAGATATTTCAACGTTCAAACAAAGCTAAGAGAATGCGAAAATTTCATGTTAAAAGCACTCAAAGTTCTATCGATCCTCGAACACATCCCGGAATCCGAGCACCGGTACGGCGGTACGGCTGATGCTGTCTCACAGGTGTTAATGTCCAGATGATCCAGAGCGATCTTGCGCAAAAACGGTACAAAGTTTCATTCCTTCATATTTTCACATTATACCTGCGTCAGCGAGCACGAAAAAGCACGAAATCGTCGGAAAGCAGCTGCACATCACGGCTGCCGCGCACCGAACAAACTCGCATCCGCCAGCTCTGGGCGCTGCCATCTTACCTGTGACGTCACGGCTCTCGGGAGGTTACGTGACGAGTGGTCACATTTGCGTAAAATATGGCGGCAACCGGGGGGGTGCCACTTCCGAACTTCCGGTTTATCACTCTAAGCCCCTCTACCTCGTTGGTTCACACTTGTGTTAGCAAGGGCAGAAAGCTCGCGCTTGAGGTCTTCTAGTCAGTAGAGCGCGAGCGCGAGCGCGCTCGCGTTTCTTTGATTTTCCCGGAAATCACTTTTTGATTGTGGGACTATTTTTATTCTAAGTACCGCGATTTTGTTACTTTTTCAGGCGCTCAACGACATCGTATCTCGGGCTCGATGGCGTCGGGAACAGGAGTTGATATAACTATGCTAACTCAAGGGACGCAGAGATTGTGCACGGATGCAAACGACATATGTTAGTCGGCTAGTCGAACAATTGTTCTCAAAGACAATGTGGCAATAGTGTTCTAAACGTTTTGAGCTACTTAGCCCGTACCAGGAGCCGAACTTTACATGACGTTTAGTCAAACTAAAAACACACGAAGTATTTTTTTTTGTCGCTAACGACGCTAACATTGCTGTCACCAAGGGACAGATGAGTTTTACATTCCTGCTTTGAGTCTGGGAACAAGATGGCATAGCGAACTCAGTTGCCAGGAGCTCGTGAAATAACCGATTGAACAAAAACCTAAATGTTATGCCTATTATTAAAACGATCGTACAAATTTGATATCATACAGTTTTAGGCCAAGTGCACTGTATCGAAGCTGCTACATTCAAATTCCCATTCCTCAAATCACGAGAACCCTTGGCACTCCCTATTATACAAACATTTTAACAAAAACTTCCCTGTTTTTTTTCTTTGTGCGGTTTCGTTTGTAGTTCGAATATAACGATATTATAGCTAGATATAAAACAAATTAATCTGATAAAACTGCTGATCGGACTTGAATTATGCGTGTTGTCTGCCTGCTCAAATGACAGTCAGAAAAACAACATCTTTTTATGTGTATGCGAACCAGTATGGGAATCACTGGACAAATTCGTTTTATAGAAAGGGCCCTTCTATACAGAACGAGATAAAAAAAAAATTAAGTCAAACCTTCAGAAACTTGCGTCCTCTGGGTGGTGGGTTGAAAGTACGGCATCTTGTCGTTGCTGTTTAGAATATTAACACTAAGAGTCGTGGTCCCTGTCTTCTCCGGAACTCCACCGTCCACAGCAATGACCTGTTTGAGTCACAGTTGTGAAAAAAAAAAAAAATACTATTAAGCACTTCTAAAGATGCACATGCAAAAAAATTTGTGGTAAAACGATCAGAAGGTCATATTTACCTCCATAACATAGTAACTCCGTCTGTCATAGTCCAGTTTGCTTGTTGGGGAGAGAGAGACGACACCAGTGCTGCCATCGATCACAAAATCATCAAAAGCTCCTTTCTGAATTCGGTACGTCACCACAGCATTTGCACCAGTGTCGGCGTCGTGAGCCGATACTTGTTCAACCAAAGTTCCTGGAAACAGACAAGACATTGGGATGTGCTTTTTTTTTTTTCTCGATTGAAATACTGCACTCACATAAATAAAAGCCAACTCTGTTAAAAAAAAAAGGAGCAATTTAGTTATGAAATATTGCATACCTGGAGGGGATGCTTCCGGAACCGAAGAAAAATATCCCTTCTTTTGAAAGATTGGACTGTTGTTGTTCGCATCCTAATCATTGAAGGCAGAAACAAACAAACAATAAAAAACAATAGTAAATAAATAAAAAAAATATTTATAAACGAGAAAATCTTACTCTGACGGTAATTTGGACCACAGCTGTGTCGATACCCGACCCACTGTCGGAGGCTTGAACAGAGAGGGTGATTCTGTATAAAACAGAAAAAAGATGGCTTTACTACTAAAATTACTCGAGAAGCAGTAAGGTGATGTTTTAGTAAATGTACTAAAATTTCTGTTACGATAACTGTTCTAACAGATTCACAAAAATAATCTACAGCTGGCCAACTTACAGATCCGTTCTCAGGAGAGACACATCCAGTCCTTGCCGGCTTGTCACAGTGATGTCGCCCGTTTGGGAGTTGATTGTGAATAAATTGTAACTATTTCCGGAGACAATACTGTATTTCACGGTGGATGTCACATCCGGATCTCTGGCCTATGAAACACAAAGAACAAAATAAAAGGATAAGATGGCAAAAAAACACACACACAAAAAAAATAATATCCGTCGTATTTTTCTACGGGTTCTATGATCGCTGAACCATTCATGTGTACAGAATAGGCCCAGTGACAGGCTTGGGACGCTGTTGGGTTAATCCTATCAGCTCTAATAGCAACGGCTGCGTCCAGACGTAAAGGCTCGTTCACACAACCGAGTAAGACCGAGAGAGGCCAGACCGGTTTTTAAGCCTCTTGCGATGTCTTCGGACCGAATGCGCTGCAGCGGAGCTGGTCCTAAGACGTCGCAAGAGGCTTAAAAACCGGTCTGGTCTCTCTCGATGTTACTTGGTTGCATATGTGTGAACGGCGCTTAAGGCGAAACGAAGTGCACTCTAAAAAATCTGTGCGTCTACTTTCACGCACAATACCCCGAGAGGCAATCAGTTCAGACCAAAAAACGCAGTCTGAGTTGTGACATTAAACAATGCAAGCGTTACGCTTTGCAGTCCGAGTTGTGACAACTCAGACTGCGTTTTTTTTTTTTTTGTCTAAACATATGTTTTGGCCTCGTCATTCGCTGAGCTGCCTCCGTAAGTTGCTGTGATTTGCTCTCCGAGGGCTGTGCGTGAAAGTAGACGCACAGAATTTTTTTAGAGTGTGGGCGGAGCGCAAAGGTCGTCTGCTACTTTCTGCGGGGGGGGGGGGGGGGGGGGGGGGTTGTGGTGACGTCAGAACGACGCCGAGCTCTGATTGGCTATGATTGAAGGATAGTGAGTAGACCTCCAGGCAGCTTGCTTTGAGGTCTACCCACTATCCTTCAATCAGAGCCAATCAGAGCTCAGAGTCTTTCTGACGTCATCACGGCCCCTCCGAAAAGAAGCGGACGAACTTGCGGCTCTGCATAGGCGAAGTTTTCCGAATATATAGGTGCTTCAAGTCACCAGGCTCGACTGAAAATGGACCGTAAAAATCGACGCCTGCACGTAGCCATATAAACTTTTCGTCAAAGGTGTATTTCACAAGTCGGTTTTTCTTGTAAAATTACAAAGCGTAGTTCTCTTTTAGTAAAACATAGGGCCAAGAAACTTGCCAGGGTCTACGGCGGGCGGTGACCCAGACGAACAAGTCCAGCAGCGGGGTGTGTTTGGCGTTCGTATTAATAGATGCCGTCGGGAGCAGCGTCTGAATGTGCAGCCGACCAGCGAAAGATAGCAGACACGCAGGCGAAATCCGTTGGCAGCAAAAGCGCCGTCGTTATGCAGACGCGTTTTTTGACTTTAAGTTTTGCTTTTATTGTTCGCATTTATTTTTTAACCGAAGGTACATATTAAAATTATTATATTCATTTTGATAAACCACGGTGGTCGCGAGCCGTCGCGATAAGGAGTTGGCGCTATCTATCAATATGAACGCCAAACCCACCCCGCTACTGGACCCCCGTCGTCTGCGTTGCTGCCCGCCGTAGACCCTGGCAAGTTTCTTGGCCTTAGTTTTTCAAGAAAGAGAGCTACGCTTTGTAATTTTACAAGAAAAAACCGACCAGTGAATTACACCTTTGACGAAAAGTTCAGATTGCTACGTGCAGGCGTCGATTTTTACGGTGTATTTTAGATCGAGCCTGGTGACTTGAACCACCCTACATATATAGTCACAGACAGCTCATGAAACGCGGGCCGAGCCGAGCCCCGAGCATCTCATTATAAAACCGCAGCCAATGAAATTGCAGCATTCGCCGGTAAGAATGCCGATGAACGAATCACGATGCAAGAAGAGTGTGATTATCATAATAGGCCACGCCCCCCGTTTCTTACGCTCACAGTGACCCTGGGACAGTGGCGTACCAACTTGTTTTTGAGTGGGGGGGCAAACCCGACCCCCTCCCCCCCCCCCCCCCCCCCTTAATCGAAAATTCGGCGCAACTTTTGTCGAAGTTTTCTAAAGATGTGGCAATGATTCGGCAAAATTACAACGTTACCAGACTTAACATTGATATTTTGTTTTTTCTCACGAAAAAAATTTTGCTTCTTCTTCTTAAAATAAATACAACTTGTAGTGCCTATTGAAACAGTTATGATTAAATAAGGTGATATTCTACAAGATAATTGTATCGATGTCGCTTTTGTGTGTTTACTGGCAATTTTAGTGTTTGCTTGCAGAAAGTGGCGTGACAACGAGGTTGGGTAGTAGCCGGAGCAGTCACGAATCACACTACGAGAGTTTTGATTTTGAGGCTTCATCAGCGCACGCCTGCAAGTGTGTTTACATTGTTAAAATAAAGACAATCACTGCGTTCTTACTTTCTCTGGGAGGCACCGTTTCGTGCGCGAAAACGGATGCAACGGTTGTTTAGCCTTCACCAGAAGAGATAACAATACTGTAAATATGCATGTTTTTCGATTTGAGTCACTTGACGTCAGCTTTGCATGAAAGTGCGCGTTCCATATTCGCAACGTGCCGTTTTTAACCTTTAAAATTCCGGTTTCTGGTGTTCGGACACACACGGACGTTTAGGAAGAGGGGGAGAGTTAGGAAGTGCTTGGACTTCGTCCCCAATCTCCCTGAAGAGCTTTACGAGCGCATGCATCCTATTAACGTTAACTCCGCTGGTATTAAAACATTGATTGATAAACTAAAACTTACTTCGTCCGCTGGAACCGATAACATCAACCCTAAAATTTAAAAGAAACACCCGTGTTATTTCTAGTGAGTATTTGAAACTCATCTTCATTCAGTCCTCATCTCAAAGCTGCCTTCCATCTGACCAAAAGGTGGGAAGGGTAATTCCCAGTCTTTAAACAGGGCAGCCGCTCTTCCGCATCTAATTATCGCCCTAATTCATTGACTTCAATTTCTTGCAAACTACTTGAGCATATCCTCTACTCCAATATCATGAGGCACCTATCATCCCATTTCTTTTCTTTAAACAGCAGCACGGTTTTCAAAAGGTACTTTCCTGCGAAACGCAACTCTGCGACTTCATCCATGACTTGCACACTAACCTTGAATGTCACGTCCAAACTGACGCAGTTTTTTTTTTTTTTTTTTCCAAAGCGTTCGGCCGTGTCCTCCATCAACGCCTTCTTTCTAAGCTATCATCTTTTTGCCTCGACCAATAACCGTTTGCCTGGATTCGTGACTTTCTTTTTTCCCGTGTACAGGTCACGTCCATGATGATCATGAATCTTCCTTAATAAATGTATCTCCTGGTGTTCCCCTGGGGTTCGTACTTGGGCCCTTACTCTTTTTAATATTTATTAATGACATTCCCATTGGGATTTCTTCAAAAAAACGCTTTTTCGCCGACGATTGCGTCATCCATAACAAAGTAACTTGTGTGCAAAATAATAACCAGCTTCAGGAAGATCTAGATAAAATTAACAATTGGTGCAAAGAGTGGATTATGTCACCAAACAAGTATAAACGCAAACTAATCCACTTCACCAAGAAAAAAACACTCGGTCATTTAATTACTTCATGGACTCCGATCTGATTGAGACCGCTACTGTGTATAAATACCTTGGTGTAAGACTAACATCTGACCTTCCCTGGAATAACCACATTGAAGTCATTACCGCCGATTCATCTGGAACTCTTGGACTAAGCAGACGTAACTTAAAAAATCGCTCCACCCTTTGTCCCTAAGCTAACCTTTAACACGTACGTCAGACCAAAAATAGAATATGCTTCAACCATCTGGAATACCCATCGACTGTACCTGATCAATACGCTGTAGAGGCAGTTCAGAACAGAGCTGCTCGCTTCATTTCATCCACTTATGACTTTTCTTTCAGTGTCTCGGCGCTAAAAACTGAACTAACCATGTCCTCTTTGCAGCTTCGCAGGAAAGTCTCTCAGCTGTGCCTTATTCACAAAATCTACTACCACATTCCCGACCTCAAAACCACTTTGTTATTACCTTTCGACCGAACATCTTCTCGCCTCAACAACGTCTGCACCATCAAACACACTTCTGGCTCTACGAACGCTTTCAATTGGTCATTCCTTTCTCAAGCCATCAGCCACTGGAACAGTCCCCCATCCTCCATTGTCACCATCTTGGACCCTGCTGATTTCTCCTCTGCAGTAAAACTACACCTTTCTTGGCCCATGTGATGGTGTGCGGGGCTAGGCAGATCAGTGAAAACACTTACGCAGAGCGCTTGCCAGGCCAGACTTGTACGTAGTTCAACTACTTTACTCAAGTTACTGTAGTTTAACTACTTTTCTGGGTAGTTTAGTAACTTTTAATTACATTTCTATTCTAGTAATCAGTAGTTTACTTTAACTACTTTTCCGAGTGACTTCCACTCAAATTACAAATTACTTTCTAATTTTAGTGGTTGTTTTGCCTATCAACAGAGAACAGAGGTCGGAAGGTCAGCTGATATTTGCAGAGGGGGAAGCATGCGTAGTAGAAAAGGGGGGGATGGGAAGGAAGAAAGTGATTTAGATAGTCCAAAAAACCCCAAAATTTTTAACGAGCCCCCCACTGCAACAACACTGCTACGAGGCGCGGGGAGCGAACAGACATGACGCAAGAGAGGTCGAGTAACTGTGGGATTAGCTCCGAATAGTGGCGTTTCTTTGTATTCCGAAGCTCAAGGAGACTTGACGCATTTGAAGAAAGGGCTTGTCCCCGCTTCTCTCCAATGTAGGAATTCTTGCCCACTACAGGAGGTGCACACACTGCTCCTTTTACGGTGCAGGCGATAGAACCCCTAACAACGACGCTCACGCCGGATGGGCTGCTCGTGTATCACTCGAAGCGCGTTAACCCACCCCCGCGCCTGCGTTCACGCCGCTTCGCGGTGACGGTGTGCGGCTGCTAATTACAAATCTATTAACCCACCTAGCCCCCCTAACCCCCGAACACGCCGCTTTGCGGCGTCCGGTCGGCAACCCAAGCCCCGCTGCCCCCCATGCACTTCCGTAAAAAGAGTCGATACGATTTAGTTTAGCGATGTTTCGTCAACAACATTCGTTTTTTTAGTGTTAATGGTAAAAAAAGAAATGTAAATATCGCCAAATGCCTCGACAAAACAAAATGTTCGAGAAAAAAAATAAAAAGAGGTAAGCCGGCCCACACCATAAATAGAACCCGGGTCTGACACGTATGAGACAGACATCTCACCACTAAGTTACGCTACCTCTTCGGAAACTCGCATTGCATCCGCTGCCTATGTTGACGGCGGCAGCGCCTATCTCCAAGCAAGCAAGCAAAACTTTATTTTGTGTAAGGGCCTACGTCCTGGTCTGGACGGCCCGTCCGGCCCATGTCTCGCGGATGGATTCCGTAAGGTTACCGTGTAGCCTCGTTCGTGGAGCAAGGCTTTACGAACCAGCCAATCCGGCGTGCGTGAGCACCGTTGCTAGGGTTTGTATCGCCTGCGCGTTAAAAATATGCCCGCGCGGGTCGGGGGGCAGTGCCCTTGGTATTCCTTGGGCGTCGCCGGCCTGTGTCTGCTCTGCCCAGTGGCGGCCGTTTCAGGGGGGGGCAAAACGCATGCCTTGCCCCCCCACTTTGAGAACTGGGGGGGCAAGTGCCCCCCTTGCCCCCCCGGTTGGTACGCCCATGCCCTGGGAACATTACCGAAATGAGTGCATGCAGCATATTACACTGGTTCTCATCTGACCTTTAAAGTCTTATATATACTAACAACACGTTGCTTTGAACAAGTTCAACATTGGAACAAATCGCCGTCCTTAGGGCGTCTTATTTACTAAACGCTAGCGGGAGAACCCAGTCTCTCAGATTAACAAGGGGTGTAAATATCCTAATTTTTTTTTTTCAGTTAGAGAAATCGAAGAATCACTATTTTTATATTAAGCCGAAATAACGCACGAAGCTGGTTTTACGGTCTACACGTGGCCTATAGTCGGTTAAGCACAAACCATCTCTCGCAACCACTTGCATTAAGTACAGGCTATTTTATGCAGGATTTTCAATCTCTCGTATATGAGGTTGTGTACTTTGTTTCGGAAACTCTGGAAAGGGGGGGGGGGGGGGGGGCTTATGGATGCGTTGGGTGTGTACCTAAATCACTGTACTGGCAGTAATTACCTGAACTCTAAGAGGAGGATCAAATCGAACATCGCCCTCATCGATAACGGCGGAGTAGAGATGCTGTTCGAACACCGGAGGGTTGTCATTCGCGTCTTTGAGCATGATGGTTAGAGGCACGACCGCACTCTGACCCCTTCCTCTGTCGTCTGTCGCTTGATAAGACAGGAAGTAGGAGGACCTCGCCTCGAAGTCCAGACAGTTTCCCCTTCCGGGGGTCTCACAAGGGGCGACGGTCACCACACCCGAGGTTGGATTGACGTAGAACCTGGAGGATGGAAGAAACAAACAATAAGGGTGTGCCTAAAACTCGAGTCGGCGCTATTGAATGCTGCAACATTAAGCTGGAGGTGGGGGCTTTGTTAATGTAAAGTAGTGAAAGCACCAAAGGTAGGTTGGAGACGACAAAAATGGGATAAAAGAACAGAAGAGAGGAGAGAGTACTCACTGATTGAAAAATACTGAGAAAAAAAAAAATTAGGCTGATTTTGGGAAAAGAATAGAAAGAGTTGACATCATAAAATTAAGTACACCGTAGGGTCTATTTATTTGAAGACGGAAAGTCTCTTCCCGAAACGTCTCTATTGCTATCAAAATTTCCCTCATCATCTACTATTTTTCGGTGAAATATATTTTAAATTACATTTCTTTTTTGTTAGGAAAGAAAACGGTTATACGACACCTTGTAGTGACGATAAAGCAATAAATGAAAAGTTTTGTCTTTTGTCCCCCTTTTCCAGGGGTTATCTTCGTCACCTTGTAGTGTCGTGGTTAATATTTTATTTTGTAAACACACTGTTTTGTTTACATTATCATATAATTGTACCGATCCAAAGAAAACACATCTCTACTCGTTTTCACCTCAAGAACCATAGGAAAAATATGTCCAGTTCCTCGCGGAGCGTTACTAATTCCCCCCTAGGGAAATTTCCCCTCACGGGGAGAATTAAGGTATGTGTAGGTACATTTTAGATTAGGTATGTGTCATCTTATCAAGACGTATACATGTTTCAGACGCCAAAAGCATCACTTTTGGCGTAAGATCTACTTCACGCCGCGTATAAACGATGCGCGAAACTTCCCTATTTCTTTGGGTGAAAACGAGTATAGTTGTGTCAACAAATACACTTACATAACTAAAGAAAAAAAGTCTGACACAGTTTTTGGGGCTACATAAAATGACCTTTAAGAAAACGTAAATTTCCATCATAAATGCCATTAAGGATAATTAAATAAGTCAGATTTAAAATACGAGGATGATCTTACTTTTCAGCGCCATTCCCGAGCAAAGAGTACATAAGACCACCTTCTCCTTGAGGACCAGTGTCTCTATCCGTGGCCTGAGATTGAAAGGAGTCCGTCTCGTTAATTGAATCCACAAATCTGCAAAGTTTCGCTACAACGAGGCAGGCAATCAGCTTACGGCGATGGTTGTAACAACACTCCCAGGAGAAGCGTCTTCGACGACCGAAGCAGAGTAGCTTTCATGCTCGAAGATCGGGGCATTATCGTTGATGTCTTGAACATTGACTGTCAAAGTAGCCGTGCTAGAGAGCTTGGGATTTGTGAACGCTTCTTCGGCGACAACCTAGAGCGAAAAGAAACAACGCTGGCCACTGAACAACAAAAAAATTTCATTTCAACACCGCCCCCCCCCCCCCCCCCCCCTAAAGATGGTAAATTATATTGAAATGCAACAAAATTCGTAGAAGACAGACGAGTGTCCACTTTTATGGTCGACTCTTTCTGGAACAATCCCGCACTACAGTTTCGTATTTGCAGACAAAATAGCGAACATAATACGCTTATAGGGAGCAGTCCCATTTTTATACATGCTTGTATAAAGTGTCCACTTGACATATATTTAATTTGAAAAAAAAGCTTACTTTTATTGCAATTTATTTATGCTTAGAATGCATGATTAAATAATTCTGGTTGGCTTGTCACAATGATATGACAATCAACAATATGTTTTTAAACCAGCTGGGAGCGTGCAAAAGAAACAAGCTGTGAAAGAAAAGGCAAGCTAGAAATAAAAAAGTTAAGATTCACTTTTTATACTTATAATAGGACACTAACTTCAAAGAACAAGCCGGATCAGAACAAAAGCTGATCTGCAGTGCTAAAGTCAGCCGCACTCTGCTTTTATACAGAAGCTATATAGCGAAAGCCAAATCTATGCTCCATTTCACCTTATGTTGTTCCGCAGAGAAGGCTAGAAGCGCGAGCTCATGGCGTTGGGAGCTGCTCTTGATGCACGGGAGCTTGTGCCGCCGAGATGTGCCCTAGAGAGTAAGGAGCTCGCGCTTGTAGCCTTTCCTGCGGTACATCATAAGGTGAAACAAAGTATAGTCAGCATAAAAAAAAAAAAAAAAAATGTTGTTGTAGTTTTGCTTGATTTTGAGATGGCACTATATGTTTCATTTGGTTTGTGAAACTACCGCCAGAAGACCTTTGTGCAGTAAAAAGTTGCAAATAAAATTAAACTTCGTCATACGAGCTGGAAGCAGCTTACGTCAAGGATAAACCGTGTTGATGTGGCCGTTAAAATCAGCAAAAATTACAAAAAAAAACAGAATTACTGGATGTTTTTGTTCCTTCCTTGCTTGGGCTTGTCATTCCAAAAACGCAGATAGCGACTTATTCCACTTGGATATAAACAAAGTTTAACTCCGTACAAGTAAAGAAAGGAAAAGAAAATGCTTCGCTTTGTGAACGAGTTTCTTCTGTAGCGAGGTGTTTCCTCACTGTTGAAATAAGCTGTGTGTACATGCACTTTGCTTGACCCATTGTTTTCTATGGGTTCTACACAAAATCTCCTGAGCCGACAAAGCAAGTCGAAGCCGAGGCACCCTCACTATTGACACGGAACACAAATAATGCTTCAAACCAACACTGCCAACATCCCTTAGATAAAAAAAAGCGAAGAAGGCCACTGAAGGCAACGCTGCTAGACTAGCTCAGTTACGGAACTATCCACAAAGGCTGCGTGTATGAGCATCACCCCCATCTCTACCCACTGCCCGTTTCCCGTCATTCCAAGCGCCACAGTTTTTTGGGGGACGGCCGCTACGCTCACTGGAGGGTATTGCATAGAATACGTATACTGTTTCGAACAACGTCGTTTTCAAAGCACAGCGTCTATAGATGGCGTTTTACCGTGCTGTACCGAAGACAGTTTTGAAATGAAAATCTAGATGGCGTTTTAAACGAAGGGGAGGTAAGGGGACGTGGACTGAAGGGATTGAGGGGGGAGGGGGGTATCCCTCTCTGCGGGAATTCCGCGACTGGGGTAATCAAGTAACGTTGACTCTTGGGCACAAATTAGAGAATAGTGCTGCGTGAGCGCTGGCTGGAACTCGTGTTCCATTCTTGAACGCAATCTCATAGGATTAGAGGCTGCTTCGTTAAAAAAGAAGAAAGAAGATCCATTGGTGGAATCCTTAGGAAACGCGTTAGCATGGGAAGACAATGGCGCTACTTTCCCAGGGTCTAGTGACTTTAGGCGGTACCGAGTGTGTTCCACTAGCATATGACGCCGTACGCTGCCGCACGTCTGCCCTCACGACCAGCAGACGGTGTGAGGCGACAGAGGCGCACCGGACGTCACGATAGGGAAATATTAGGCTTGCGGACGTGTTCAGCCGAGCAGCCAAGCCGATCCAGTAGTAATGGGCGGGGCCTGTGGACGGGGCCCGGCCCATTACTACTGGACTGGGCATGGCCTAGGTGCCGTCCTGTGGGCGGCACCAAGAGCGGGTGGTGAACTCCACTCAAAATTGTGCCTAGCTTCGTGAATATTGCACAACATGTTTTTTTTTCCCAAATGAACATTAAGCAAAAAAAAAAAAAAAAAAAAACAAAAAAACCCCAAAAAGCGTGTTTCATTTAAACTTTTTAAACTATTGCTATTTTTTTTAAATTTCAGTGTCCTTTTAAGCCTAAGTCCAGCCGTAGCTGAGGCTACCAGGTAACCAATCAACCCGCGTCAAAAGCGCTCGCCATTTGGCCTTTTCTATTTATGATTGGTTCAGTGATGATAGAACGCGTACAGAAATATTACGAACACCATGATCGTGCGCTTTTGACACTGTCTGATTGGTCCCATCAGCTCGTCATGAGCCATCAGACGTAGCGGCATCAGCAATCAGACGTAGCGTCGGCTGCGTCTGGACTTAAGCTGGAACAAGGTATAGTGTGATCCGCAACTTCTAAGGCTTTGGGGGGCTAAGCTCGCCTTCGGCGGGAATCTCTCCGATGCGACGTCACGAGGGAAGGGAGGAGCTTCTTTTGACTCCGCCCCGGCGAGTTTCCCCCTCCTCCTTTTACATTTCCGACCCCCTCGGCGGCGACGAGTTCCCCAGCGTAGCTCCGATTTGTCCCTACGCTCCGCAAGGAAGAGTTTAATTTGATTTAAATCGGGGGATCGGTGGCTAACTGGGCTAGCGCACACCAGCTCGGAGCACGTCGAGCGAAAGGTCCGTTGCAGAACTTAGGATCCTGGGTTCAATCCACACCCCTGCCCTTTTCGATGTTGATGAGCATCGTACCAGAGTGCAGTCGTGTATCAATACTGCGGGATGGACCCTAGGCTAGCGGTTGTACTGCACTGGCTAAATTTCTCATCTACAGCTGGGAGAATCGTCGCCCGTTGAGGCAGACCAAATTTTAAGTGGTATCAACATACACACAGCCCAATTTTTTTTTTAAATTTAAATCGTAGATGTCAAATAAGAATATGTAACAGCACAGATGCTAATTATGCAAACATTGCATGGACATGGGCTAATTGATTAAACATTGTGATGGTTTGCTGCGCCACGTAAATGCAAGAAAAACTTGATAAAGATTTAATCTAAAGCAGAGAATAGGCGAAAAACAACATACAGGAATGGCGGACTAAGAACTGTGTAATTTTTTTCTTATCTTTCTCCCCCCACACCGCCACGCAGCCACAATACGTTTTTTTTTTTTTCTTTTCAAAATAGAATGCACGTGAAGCGAAAGCTCGCGCTGCAGAACTCAGGATCGTGGGTTCCACGAGTGGATTCAATCCCCACCCCTGCCTAGAGCTACGCTGCCATATAGAGTGGCTCTACCCCTGCCCGTGTCGATCTGGATGAGCATCGTACCGGCGTGCGGTCGTGGATCACTACTGCGTGGTGCACGTTAAAGACCCCAAGCTAGCAGTCATACTGCACTGAATAAATTGCTTATCTACAGTGGGTAACAATGTCGCAATGTTCTGGCATGTTCTCCTGCTGTATAAACAAGTAACGGCCAGTTTGTTTTTCAAAATACGGTGTGGAGGGAGAAAGATGAGAAAGAAATTACACAGTTGTTAGTCCGGGCCATTCATGTACATTGCTTTTCTTCTATTATCTGTTTTAGTTTCAATTTTATCAAGTGCTTTTATCTTGCATCTACGCAGCACAGCAAACCATCAAAATAATTGTAAAAGCCTGTAGGTAATGATAAATTGCGTTTCAGATTGCAGATTGCCGTAAAAACATTTCTCTACAGGATTCACTTTGTAGAATTTGTATGTAGGATTCACGACGGGGACGACGGTCCATTCACGGCTCCATCGCCTCAAGCCCGGTTTGCCACGCAGTTCATCACACAGCTACCTTACCACGCCTTTCGAGAGGCGATAGTGTTGTTGAAAATCAACGTCGTCCATGTCAAACACAATTGGCGTGGCTTAAATAGCTACGTCGATGGCGAAACACGAACAAATACGCTGCCATTTTGGACGCTTCTCCCTCATCTCGCGCCCAACTCGCCCAAACTCGCCTAGGTAGGAGCCGGCAAGCTTTTCCTATCCGCGGCGGCTTTTGCCACGTCACAATGACGTCACAGCATCTCGCCGCGAGTTCCGAATATGCCACTCTCCGACCGCCTCAAACCCTCCGTTCTGACGTCACGATCTAGGGAGTGACGGCGCGTGTCGTCATGCACGGCGCCGACCAATCGCGGCAATCGGCGAGTTTGGCGGAGTACTCGCCTCGACCTCGCCGCGCCGAGCTTAGCACCCCAGAACTCACGTTCATGCATGGATTTCACTCTCCTGCGAATCGGGGTCAAATGAAGCACGACTTCGAGTTTAATCTCGACACGACGGCTGAAACTTATGGCAAGTAAAGTAGGGGGAAAGGGGGGTGCTTTGTATTTCGAGGTAATAGAAGTAAGGCCTTTATACTCTACTTTGCTTACTTTTTACATGAATGTGCAATATTCGCCAAGCATATACGGAACACGCGAACCGTGTCTTATCTAATGAGAGTGGTGTCCTAGCGGCAGGGAAGAACTGGTTCATGACGTAGCGCTCAGTGAAACAGCCCGAGCTGAGAAGGCAGCTGGCTCAAGGCCGAAACTGCGGCTGTAAACAAAAATGCCAACTGAGTGGCGATCTACGCTTTCCGCCGCCCCTTCGCACTACGCTGCAACACGTGGCTGCTAAAATCGCCTGTCATTGGATGGTTTCGTTTATTGGGAATGTAATGCCTACCGATTGAGCCGTTCAATTACTGATGATTTCGACAGCTTCCTAAACGTCTTTGTGTAAGCAAGTGTCTATAAGAGTGTACAGGTTGCTGCCCACAAAAATTGCTCCGGTGTTTATGGCGCAGTCGCGATTTCGGTTTTCAGCGAGCCCCGCTCGGGCTTTTCCACTGAACACTACATCATGGAGCTGTTCTTCGGCTGCCACCAGGATGGCTAAGACACTGTTCGCATGCTCCGCACAGAAGTCGCTATGTATGGGCGCAGCCATAACTAACCTTCAATTTTTGTTTGCTTTCAATGCATTTGCTTCATCTCATTATCATTGTCGTCCGAGAGTTTATTGACCTTTTAGACGCCATAGTGTTCTTGTCCCCAACGCAGTCCTTGTGTGAATTCGTCATAAGTGATTTCAGTGGCGGAGCATCTCGGTGAGACAACCAGTTATGGCGGCTGTCTTCTGGCACGCGGGAAAAGGGACTACGTTTGGCGAGCACTGTACCTACATTCCATAACAAAAGTAAAAAAAAAAGTGCTTCTTACCAACAGGATAAACTTTCTTTGGTTGGGGTTTTCGTAATCCAAGGGCCCCTTGATTATCCGGATGCTGACAGACGTCGAGCCAGTGGCGATGGTCGGTTCCACGGCGAACATGCCAGAGGCGTCCATCAGACCAATGTTGAAGACGGAATTGGAACCCTGCGAAAAGAAGGCAGGTATTTGTCGACTTCGTTCCGATCACAAAGCGCGTCGGCCATTTGTCCCTGTCTTATCAAAACCTCTCTGTGCTTTTCATTATACATAGGTGTCAGGCAAGCCTTGTTCGAACCTATGCGCTTTTGTTGCATAACTGTAATCAACTCGACGTCAGCGAGTCGAGAAATGGTTGCTCTATCAGCTTTTCTTAAAGATGACGCATATATGTATGAGAAGTAAATTAAAGAAAGGTTCAAAGCATATTTTAAACGAACCCATCGAACAATGGCTGAGGTGCCACTGTTTTAGAAGGTTGTAAACCAGCATATTGCTGCAGCTATAACGCCTAGTTTCTCAAACGAGAAAAAAAGGAAGACTCAATTAATATTTATTCCGCGCGTAATAAACACCAGCTAGAATATTCAAGGCCCGTGGACAGCCTCCTCCACCTCCACGTAACGCCATCACCAGCTTGGCAATCAGGTTCGAGCCCGACGACCAGAGTCCCTGAGCCCTATACCCCTTGAGAATCGAAATCTAAATTGTTAGGTATTACGAGAGTTTGTTTGTAGGTAATAAGCTATTAAGAAACCCTCAGCTTCCAAGGACGACTGTTAGTCGCCTACCGCCAAACACGTTCCTGACGAGAGTGATTCGTTCTTGCTTGCCGAACGAGACAATAGGCGATTTAGTAGAGTCAGGCTCGTTCAGTGGCCGGTTCCTGAATGAAGTCGAGCGATAGGCCGGCGTTTTGGTCCTCGCGCGAAAGATTAGTTTTAACTCCGATAAAAACAGTAGCTATAAAGAACTGCAGCCACTGCAAAATTCGTATCCATAAAAGTTTTTTTTTTTTTTTTATCCTTCTTCCTGGACAAGTAAACACACAGTGGAATTCCCGACTCTGACGACCAAATACATACACCTGGAAGTAGTGGATGCGTAGCAACGGTCACACAATTTTTGTTCGTTTAGTTATTTCCCCTGCCAGCACTGTCCTAGGAGTCTTTGCGGGTCTACCTTTCTTTCTTGGGTTGTATCACCGAGATCAGCCTGCGCAACCTGTTTTCATCCACCAGGACGACGTAAAGCCCGACAAAACTGGGCTTGAGAACCAAGCCGTGACAAAAGGAGGACGCTATGCACAAACGATTCTCTCCTTCTGCCGTCTAGGCTGAAAGATTACGTGAGACTTCGCGGGAGGATCGCTACCAGGTCACCTCGCTCCGTCTAGCCGTCTAGCCCACTGTGATATGCGAAGAGTGGTGCACGTGGAACATGACGCAACGGGAAAAGTTGAATGCTCGTTGACCTCGTTCGTGTACGCATCTCTCTTTTCCCGAGTTTATTGGCGTTTTGAGTTCTAGAGTGGTACACGGCCTGTGGGTCATGTCAGAACATCTTGGTTTACACATTGTATATCAAAATGTGGGAGAGACCAAACCTTTCTTTAATGTTATAAAATTAGCCGGATAAGTTGGCCTTTGATATGTACCAGTATATTTTTGGGTTAGTGCCGGGAATAATTTTTTTTTTTTAGGAATTAGTAATTTTTTGTTAGACACGCTACACGTTGGGGCCTTGACCAAACAAAATATTACCAGCTAAAAAAAATCATATTTAGTAGATATAAATAACAATAGACCCTTTTTGAAACCCCATCAAGCAACATTGGCGGTCGCCATTTTTGGGGGCGCGAAGCATGTGATTGGATCTGGTCCTCACCGAACGCTCACGTCACGTAAACTTTGTGTCCCATACGAGGTGAGCCGAGTTCGCGCCGAAGTACGTGTCCAGACGATGGCGGACTCTGATAATTTCCGAAGCAATTTCTAGAGGGCGCGCCCTTTTGAAAAGGGTATATTCTATCTGGAAAGTGCTTACGGAAACAATAAAAAAATGCCGACATGTGAAAAAAAAGAAAGAGTTACCAAAAATGGTATAGAATACCTCGACATTCATTGCATGTATCCTTTTTTTTTTATTTGAACGACTATAGTTTTTTTATTTCAATTTCTCCGGGATCGATAAAAATAGTGATAAAATATTCGCTTATAGAACGCTTTTTATAAAATTACTCCGCAAAAAAAAAATAGCCTCAAATTAAACTAACAATGCTAAAAAAAGAAAGAAAAAAGAAAGATACAATGATTTAAAGAGTTTCAAAACTGTCGGATGTTGGGCCGGCAGTACATAAATACCGGTATCAGTTTTGCAACCTATATTTACTTGGCTACGCCCAGTAAGGTTTCGTGGACATAGATACATTGATCTCGTGCTTGTTCAGGAGAAAGAGAGAGAGAGAGAGAAAGAGAGGAAGTTGTCTCTCGCCTGCCTGAGATAAAACAGGCCTACCGAATACCGAGCATGGATGGATCTAACATTGTGCCGGGAGTCGGGTAAGGGTTAATAATTGAAGCTTCCTTACGGCGTCCGTGTCTTGAACAAAGATGTCGAGGTTCGGCAGGGGGCTGCCAACCGGGATGTTCTCGTTAACGTTCACGCTGTAACTGGGACTGCTGAACGTGGGCGCTTCGTCGTTCACGTCTCGGACGGTAATCGCCAGTGCTGCGACCGTCGAGGAGCCCGGTAAATCGAGGATGGTGTCTCCGTCCATCTCGGACGCCTAGAGGGAGGTAAAATAAGCAGAGAGGTCATCATCGGCGCGCGTGTGATCAACATCTGTAACATGCTGTCGAGACACTGCTTTTTTAGGATCAAGCAAATTGATTGACCAACGAAACAGCTCACAGGCCTCGCGTGCACGTTCATGTTCATCACGTAAAATAAACAAATAAACAGAGGTGCTCGTATACGATATAGGACACGTATGAATACAAGCGCACTTACCAAATCGAACACAAGAGCTGATCTTACCTTAGTTTTGCTGGGAACGTACTTAAGCACTGTCATTATTAAATTAGCGTCAAATGCAAACGCCAATAATAAAAAAAGAAAGAAAGTTTTCATGTTTTTTTGTATGCGGGCCCAACTCTGGGAAGTGCAGCCCCATCTTTGGTGACACCTGTGTCATGGGCCAATACAAAACAAAAACGGCCAGAGAAATTCACGAAACCCACCACGACAATTGTTGTGTAAGCGCACCCTCTTTGTCCTTGTCTGGTAAAAAAAATTCTACTAGTTGAAGAACCAATGACGCTGGCATTTGAGGGGGGGGGGGGGGGGGGGGGGTTTAGACCATATCTTTGTGTTCTGCCAAGTGTGCCTGCTTTTATATTTTTAAAATTCTGTCATCGAAATATATTATTCAGTTGAAAATTACGTCGCGTCCTGTCCAGTTCTCCCTTCGTTTTCGTCCATGTTCTTTTGGCGTATTACACCATGATGCTTTTTAATACGAAATTCTCTTGGTGGATTTGGAGCGATCCAAAAGCGCTCCACGCTTGCGTTTTTAGCGCGGTAGATAAGGGCGCGCGCTTGCATGCTCAAGGAGATACCAACAAAAAATCGCGCTGAAACCGCTCCAAATATACACCTTGCTGTATTTTCACACTTGATACTTTATACATAAAGTATAAAGTTTTATACTTTATTTCAGCCGTGCTTATTGATAAGATCTCTAAATGTTGTATTTCTCCTGCTTATGAGTCTGGCGTTTGTGTGTGCGATGCTTAGATGTGCAGTTATTGATCTTACTTGAAAACTTTCTTGAACTGTTGTATTTCTCCCGATTATGCATTTGGATTTTGTGTGTGTTAAACATTATGTGCAGTTGTTCGTATTTAGAACATCTCAAAATGTTGCCCTCCTCCCCCCCCCCCCCCCCCCCCCCTTCGGATTACGCAGTGTCCTTTACGAGAGGGTCTGTATGATATTTAAATAAATAAATAAATAAGGATTGAGTTTTCACTCACCTTTATTTTGACCGTGACGACGCCGTTGGACGACCCCAACTTCTCTTTGTCCAGCAAGCTCGCAGTTGTTAGGACGCCCGTGTTTTTGTTAATGGCGAAGAAGTTCTCAGGATCTAAAAACCGGAGAGGGTCATATCAATGACGTCGCCGCGGCCCACAGGCCAAAGCAGCGGTAGATCTTACTTGTAACCAATGAGTAGTGAATCTTTCTTGGGATTCCACGGTCCCCGTCCGTAGCTTTCACGGTCATGACATAAGTTCCCTGTAATATAGGAGACATGCACCATGAAGATGATCCTAACTCATAAAGTTGTTTATTAATTAATATATGTTCCGTTATAGACTCCTGTATGCATTCAAAGAAGCAGCGCTTGTCTGAATGGTATGCAGACATGTGCGGTGCTTAGGTTTTAGAATAGTGACGCGCATGCAGTTATATTACCCACTGCGCGCGCGCGCACACACACACACACACAGACAGACACACATATATATATAAAGTAAAAAGGGGGTTGATATTTACCACAGGCACATCTTCGCTGACCACTGAAGACATGGATCCGAGAAAAACTGGCGGTCGATTTTGGACATCGGTCACTTTGACAACGACGGCTGTTGTGGTGTTAAACATTCCGTCCTAAAAAAAATAAAAATAAATCAGGCGCTACATGGGAGACCTGCCAGGCGCCTTCAGTAGAAAAACGAAAAACAAAAACTATCCCAGAAGACGGTATAGAAAAATAAATCCAGGTATTAGACAAACTCTAAGAGCGTGTTTATAATACAAAAAAGAGTACGCATAAATAAAATAAATAAAATAAAACAAGACAAAAGACGGCAGGAGCGCCCTTATTTTTTTATTATTATTCGTACGTGCTTAAAGCTTGGAATTAGAAGAAGACACAAGGAAAAAATACGTTTAAAAATGAATAGCGAATTGATCTCCAAAGCTTGGTATCGAAAAATAACCATTAAACCATAACAATCGGTATTGAATACGCCGAACGCGGACAGCGTCGGCAGATATACTTATGGAGGCGCTTTTTAATCTCCGTAATAAGAAACAAGACGAACTCACATCAGCAGAAAGTTTCACTTGATACACAGAGCGAATCCCGTAATCCAAAGGTTTTCGCAGAACTAGCGACGCGCTCAGTGCCTGTGGGCTGGATTCTGCCACGACAACTGTGAAGGTATCGCACGTTTCTGGAATCTAGAGCGAAGAAAAAACATGTTTTTGTTGTGGTTGTGATAATCATCACTTTCGTTTTTGTAGGATAGAAAGAAAGAGGAGGGATGTGTGAAATAGGGAATCTTACGTCGTAGTCATGAAGACACTGAACCTGCAGTACATTCCCCACGGCATCGATATCTGTCACTTTGATGCCGTTGAATACTGTGTTCCCAATAGGAGTATCCTGGAATGAAAGACATTCGGTCGTGCAATAAAAATGTATAGTTCAAGCACCGTATAGTTAAAAATAACTATACGGTGTTTGTAACAAGATCTGCGTGCCGCCTAAATATGCAGGGCGAGAAACATACGCGGTGTTATTAATTCCTGAATTTTATGAAAGTGTTTAATTTAATTTATTTGAAAGTGTGCGGAATGACGGTAAGGGGTGTTATAAAAATCTGCCGCTAAGAAATAAAAATATGATAAAATACAATCAGCAAGTCATCTATGCTATTATGGTAACCACAATACAGCCATCTTAAATAATATTTGATCTTTATTTTAAAATTTCATAACATGTGCTCGCACGTATTCTGCTTTTAATTAAGATAAACTTTCGACACGATTCTGTTAAGAAACAAAAGTGTTGTGTCGGTTTCACAGAACGCATGAAATGAGACTTACCTCGCTGAGTTTCACCTCGTAAGGCACGTTCTCAAACCGAGGAACGTTGTCGTTCACATCGAGAACTATAACGCTCACAGGAACCTTGACCTGCGGAAGTACAATTTTTCAAGGTTTACTGAATATATCTTTGAGAGCGATGTATCTCCTAACGAATTCAGATACCGTAATTTACTTTAGGGGTTTTAATCTCGGATCTATCTCACAAATATTTTTTTTGTTTAAATCATAGTCGAGAAACGAATTCCTGCTCCAAGGGTCTGCCCCAGAACGTACGATATTTTTTAGTGTGCAGCATGGATGAGTTAGCACATGTGTTTCTGGGTGGTGTCAATATCATATTATGCTATATCACGCAATTTAATACGCGTGAACGAGAGGTTTTTCGCTTCAATTGTTATGATAGCCTCTATCAGCACCACCTTCAAACGAGTGTGCAAATGAATGTTGATGCCTCATAATGCTGCAATCAAATATTACTTCGTTTAAATTAGGGACAACTAAATATTGTATAATAATTTTATGGCATGAGATGATTCCGGTTTCTGAACTGTCGGATCTGCTATCTAAAAAAAATAAGAAAAAGAGCTTGTCGAATGAAAAGACCAAAATATGTATTTAGACCCAAACATGAGGGCAGAGATGAGGCACTGAGCACGACTTTTGGGACGCTAATGTCTTGCTCAGGACCACATCGCAGTCTGCATGTGTTTGGTCTAAACGTGTTTTCGGTCTCACCCTTCGCTGAGCTTAACCTGTACAGATTGCAGCGATTGATGTTCCCACTAGTACAACGTGATGGATGCAAAGATGGACGCTAATATGGACGCTAAGATGGACACAAGTACACGGAACTATTTTAAAGCGTGCGGAATAATGTTTAATCTAAGCTACGGCAGTCTGAACCAATATGTCACCACACACGTTGGCAAGAATGGTACTGCTGGCGCTAACAAAGGAGGTTCATGGCGTAGCGATCTGTATGCCAATTGTAGATTGTTCTCAGAATGCTGGAAAATGCATGATTAAAACTTACCAGATTGTTGTCGTGCTGTCCTCCAACTATATCTTCTAGTGTTGCGTAAAACTTCAGGGTGTCTGTGTCCTAAAAACAAAACAAAAAACTGGTACATATAGATTAAATATGTCACGCAAAATTCTTCAGTAGTTTTTTCTTAAAATATGTATGCACTATATAATACTTAGACGACAAACTTGGATAGCAAATTTGATTATTTTAGAGCAAAGCCAAATATATAAACGCGGCCTTTCTATTATATTTTTACGACTTTTTATGTCGGATGTCGGATGTATACACAACTCATCATTCAGTTATTAATACGTAATAAAAAAAAACGTGAAAACATAAAAGTGTCTAAAATACATTTCATAATAAAAAAAAATGTTTAGAGTTTTACGCATATACACGTGTTCCTGCGCACGTCGTTCTCTTTTTTTTTTTGTAATCGTATTCTGAGCATTGCCATTCGCGGGGAGCCTTGTATTGTTTGCCATGGTTGGCTGTCTCCCTGCTCTGCAGTAAAGTTTTTTTTAGAATGTGTTATGAAAATTAGACCACAGGTTTTTCAATGGCTAATGTAAACCATAACTGTCTACGAATACAGAGGGTGAATGGCGCACCTCTCGGTCAATGTTATTTTTTACGGTAACCTCCCCGGTGTCCCTATCTACGGCTAGCAGATTTGTTCCCTCAAGACCGTAATAGACGGGGGAGTTCTCGGGGTCCGATCCTTCCAGGCGAAATACAGACGTCCCTAAAAGAAAAAAAAAAAAAGCAATTGAATGATATAAGAAAGGCATATATTAAGTGTTATTATTCATACTTTGACTCTTGAGAAAAAAAGAAAACAATTCGTGGTTTCACAGAGGCCTAATATTTGTCGTAAAGGCTTAAACAGTACGAGCGAGATGCCTTAAGTGTTGTGAGGGCACCAGGGATGGGCAGAATACATGCAAATATGTATCGAAATAAAAATACCAAATACTTCGTCAAAAATGTATTTAATTACAAATCTAATTACATTTCCAAAAAAGCATTTAAGTACAAGATACAAATACAACCAAATGTATTTGGTCTCCTCCAAATACTTTTCCGAATACATTCCTCAAAATTTGCGTCAGCGACTTCAGGGCACCTGCAACGGGTTTCTGGGTATCTCATTTTAATTTTGCATCGCACACTCGGGAGTTAGTGTGCGAGGCTCTAGTAACGTAATAGAAATATCACAAAAAATGTAATCAGCTTGGACGTAATAGGTGAAAAAAGTACAGAGCTTCAAGCAGCTTTCTTTGTCGATTACATTTTGGTATAGACCAACAAAGAACCGAGACCACCAAGACGCGCAGCACTAGCTAGAGAATTTTTTATTGTTGCAACTCGCTCCAGTTACGGAAATCTGGACGACCGGCGCATTTAGAATGTTCCAGGCAAAAGTATGGATGGAAATCAGGCTGGAAGGCATCACAAGTTGTCACAGGCACTTTTTTAGCCAGCCTACCCGTGAACGTCGATTTCGTCACTATTCTTGCCCTGGACTAGCACCGTAATCACAAAGTCACTAAACGTTGGTGCTTGATTGAGTAACACTGCATTCGGTGCAGAACGCAGTTTTTTTTCTGCTCTGGACAGTGACAATAAATTTGAAGGATGTATTTTCGCCCACAAAATTGTATTTAATTAAAATTGTATTCGAAATACCCACGTTTTAGTATTTAAATACACACGTTAAATACATTACCCAATTTGTAATTAAATACAAATGCAAAGTACACAAAGTATTTTAAATACGTATTTAAAATACTGCCCATCCCTGGAGAGCACAATGCTTTATCGTTTGGCACGTAGCCGATAGGATATATTTGACTGGTTGCAGTAACGAGATAGTCATACTTGATGTTAAAAGCTAAACGCACTCGTCACAACGAACTGTTTAGATAAGTAGAAGAAATGGTCAAAATGCAGGCAAGCCTGTGCATATTAATCATGATGCTGAAACCCCGAGACTGGTAAGTAAATTTAAAGATTAATTAGGAGCTGAGTTTAAAACGAATGTCTGTCACCTTACTTCTGCTCCAGATTATTTATCTTCAAGTTTCCTTCCCATTCACAGGATTTGAACATCATGAGATAACTTGCTCCGCTGGCAGCTAAGATTATTGCTATAAATGTTCCTAAATATTCGAAATAATGTTCACTAAAAATAAGTTATTAATTATGCCTCATAGGAGAATTACAAAAATGCTTATGCCTAATCTGTTTCGCGGAGCACACGGAAAGCCTCTCACTGCGAACTATAGAGGTAAAACTTCCGAAAAGGCGGAGCCAAATACACTTTCAGACAGGGAAACATTATATATATATATATACCAGACATTCAGTATGCCTTCTTTTCAACAGCTTTTTGTCTTTCAGACAAAGTTTCCTGTTGGGGTTAAAACTCATATCTTACTCTCGTGAATAAGTAAGGGGTTACTTTTATATATCTCTTATGGAGTCAGCTGTTTCTAAAGTTCAGGAGCAAAAATTTGAGAACACATGAGTATAAAAACACGTTCGTACCAATAGGAGTATTTTCAGGTATCACAGTTAGGTCGATGGTCTTGGTAAACTTTGGTGGGAGATTGGCGCTTGTCACTGAAAGAGTTAAAAAAAAACAGAACGCAGCAGATTATTTAAGGAGATATAATGGCAACTATAAACTCTTAATTTGTTATGCTAATCGATGATATAAAAATAATATTGGTCTTAAAATAAATAAATTACGGACAAATGATATAAGTAAAATCTCGATGGTACGTACTTTGTAGTGCGGTCAAGATGACAACGAAAGCTGATGGCCCCATGCCTGTGTTCTGAAAAAGACAAAAACAAAACAAAATGAACATTAAGTTGTACATTTTATTAACTTTGCACTTTATCCCAGGCTGCGCACATTGAAAATGTACGGTGGGCAATTAGTATTGCAATCTTGTGAAAACATGTCAATTCTGAAATGTTTTCTTCCATCGTTTTGATTATTTCACTTTTTAAAATTTTAGCGTTGTTTTGATTGTTTCACTTTTTAAAATTTTAGAAGAGTAATAACATTTCAAGTGGCGTCACCCTTCTACCGTGTCTTCGGTGAATATAACGGCAAGAATATGAACAACGAAAATTGCGTCGCACGTGCCACCGGGAACGCAAACTAATATCGCCGTGTGATTGAGACTGTATTGCACATAGAAAGCGTTCCATCAAAAGCCATGGAAACAAGAATCTAATAAAATTCTTTGTATTTTTTTTCTTTGTCGCTTTGTGTTTGCGGTTTGCTAGTTCAACGCATCACAGAAAGCAATACAATGCACAGAAATGGTAGCGTTAAAATACTATATACAACGAGGAGTTTTAGCAGATTTTCTTTACATCAGCATTGGTATCCGGGGTTTGCACTGTCACTTCTATGCATGCTTTTAAACGCGCACCGGAAGTGGTATTGGGCATACAAAAAATATTTTTTTGAAACTTCCAATATTATGTACAGCGTATAGAACTTACACTGGACGCTGCACGTATGCTGTACACTAACAGCGTAAGTCGCGAGCTCGAACAGAAACAGTGTGTAGGGAGTATACCACAAGTTGAGGCTGAGCGTCGTCGCTTTTACGAATGAGCACAAAGTCTAATGGAACATTACTGCGACTGACGTTTTTCAAGATAAAAAAAAGCTGTTCCAAAGTTTTTACTTATTTATTTGTTTTACCCTCAGGGCACAAAGGCATTACAGAGGGGAGTGGGGAATAATAGTAATAAGAATACACAAGGAACAATGAACAAAAAACTCAAACAATATGAAACATGAGGTTGGCAATAGAAATACAAAAAAAGAGGGTGGTCAGTCATTAATGCGAGAGATGCAGGTAAGCGGTTCCAATCATTAGAAGTTCTTGGAATAAAAGAAGCGTAATAAACGTTAGAGTGACAAAATGGTACATCAACATTTTGACGATGATCAAAGCATGCTGAAACAAAGTATGGGGGATTATCATTTGGGCTTTGAAGTAAGAAACATGGCGATAGATTTTATGAAAAAGGGGGATTCGAAAAACCATGCGACGATGTGCGAGGGTTGGAAGTAATAATGTGCTTTTCATTGACGTTACGCTTGTGGTGTGGTTATAGTTGGCCAGTATAAAATGTGTATCTCTGTTCTGAACACCTTCAAGTGAGTTGATAAGGTAGATGGTTGAGGGATCCCTGATGGAAGCTGCATATTCGAGCTTAGGCCTAACTAGTGTTTTATAAAGAGTCAGTTTTAATGAAGATGGATTTAAAGGAAGGCTACGTTTGAGAAAGCCAAGCATTCGGTTAGCGTTGTTAATCACATAGTTAATATGAAGTTTCCAGGAAAGGTCGTCACTTAAGATCACGCCTAGGTACTTGTAAGAGGTCACAAGTTCCAAGGGTGTGTTGTGAATGTTATAAGCGGTAGTAAATTTGACTTTGCGGGCTATGCGCATGACTTTGCATTTGTTAATGTTAAGCTCCACTGACCAGAGTTTGCACCGTCTGAATAAGGAGTCGAGGTCATGTTGTAGTTTTTGCGAGTCCGAGTCATTAGTTATTACACGATAAATAGCACAATCATCAGCAAAAAGCTTAATTGAAGAAGAAATCATCTCATGCAAGTCATTAATATAGATCAAGAAAAGTAGAGGCCCCAAAACTGATCTTTGGGGTATGCCGGAAGTGAAGGGTGCGGAGGAGGAGTTCATGCCGTTACATGTTACAAATTGCGAGCGATTTATTAAAAATGATACCAACCAGTTAAACACGTTACAATCAATGTTGAGTTTACTTAATTTATGCAATAAAAGTCTATGCGATACCTTGTCAAACGCCTTGGCAAAATCTAAGAATATGCAGTCCACCTGAGATCCCTGATCAAATGCTGAATGAAAATCGTTCGTGATAGACAGTAGCTGTGTCTCACAGGACAAGGATTTCCTAAAGCCATGTTGATTTGGGGAAAAAATGAATTGGACTCCAGGAAGTTAACAAGTTGTGTATAAATTATATGTTCTAGAACTTTGCAGGGAGCACTGGTTAGCGAGATGGGCTTATAGTTGATAGGAAAGTGCTTATTACCAGATTTATGCAGAGGAATAACTTTACCAATTTTCCAGTCACAAGGTACCAATGATGTGTCAAGTGATTGCTGAAAAATATGGGCGAGAATAACAGAGGAGTACTGATTTGTAGCTTTAAGAAATTTCGAGTCAACTTCGTCAACACCAGTTGCCGATGACAGCTTTAGGCCGTTTAGAATGCGCAGAACACCATCGGGGCTGATTATGATAGGGTCCATCAGTGGGAAAGGATCAACATTATAGCTTGGGTTCACATTGCTTAGGGTGCTAGAAAAGGATTTAATAAACACCTAAACTTAAGCACAGTAAACATTTACTTTTTATGTAAACAAATATACTGTTTACCTTTAAATTCGATATAATTATTTTATTGCGAAATATTTAATGGATCCACGACTTTTACTTACGCTAACTACAAAGAGAGTAGTGACTTGACGATGTCAAAAATCGTAAATTGATAGTGCGAAAACTGCATTTTCGTCACAGTGATGTCACTTCAAAATGAAAAAAAAAAGTTTATTGTTCTAAGTTATTATTTAATAAAAAAGTCCATCCCGATTTAAAAATGGTTGGTATTTTTATTTTATTAACATTAAAAGGTTTAAATGTATATGTTTCACTTTATCTTTGCTTTACTGATTTCTGGTAGCACGCGGTCCGAGTCACACATTATTAAAGAAATCTTAAAGGTATCAACATTTCACTTATTCATTATGATCGTTGACCACGACGTTCGTTTAATCTCAAAATATTTCCAGTTATACACGTTTCCAATTTCGTACTTTACGTGTAAAATCACATGAAACAATAAAATTTTTAGTGGCGCTTGAAATGCTTCCTTTTTAGGGGTAAAGTACATTAAAAGCAGATTTTATGCATTTTTTAGGGTTATCAACCGAATTGGGGGGGGCGCCCTAATTACGTGTTTTTTCTTTGGTGTTTTTTGATAGCTTTTGTGGCACCATTTAGTCCTTCAAACAAAATTGGCGTCTAAAAAAAAAAAAAAAAAAAAAAACAGCAACCATAGTATTATACAATTTACTGCTTGCAACTTCCTCCCTTGACTGCCTTTTAATATCACTTCGGAACGTCACAGCAACTTTATTTTTCCTGGCATTCAGTTCTGTATTTCAATGTTGACTCTCTTCTCAAGGGAATAATTACATACTTTGAGGTTCGTGGAAGCCGTGGATACATTAATTAATTAAAAAAATATCATCGTATACATGAAGTAAAATATTCATGGAATATTTTGCAGTCAATCTGGGTAAATTTGACCAACTTCTGCTTATTTTTTATGTGATTCAGAGCTCGCCAACACTTGCTAAATGTGGGCAAAGAGGGGGAAGAGAAGGAGAAGGAACGTTATGTAGTATGGTTATGCGCAACCGTGCGTGCGTGTGTGCGTGTGTGTGTGTGTGTGTGCGCGCGCGCACGTATGTGCGAGTGTGTGTAACCGCACAGATACAGGAAATGTAAACAATATAATCCCGAATACCTAATTCTGCCTCATTCTTCTATGGAATTCACTTATTGAGCTGTGATTATGACTTCCCGCCTCAAGTCTTCGTGTCCCGTATGTCTCGTCAGCGTCATTTCTCCTGACAACTCCGACGGTGCGTTTGGTGCTTACAGTGTGCACATGCATAACAGTAAATTAGAGCCAGGGTGGAAAAAAAGTATATAGCATTTAAATCCCAATTTAAGTCGTGACTCAGATCTTGATTTAAATCAGTCCAGTCTTTCGTTATAATCAAACCTTTCCCGAAAAACTGATCCCCCGAAGACTTCGTATTTACACGTCTGTCCTTTGATGCCTTCTATGTGTATTTGTCTTGTATTTGTATAAAAAAATAATCAAGCAAGAAATATTTATACAAAGTCAAACACGAACAAAAAGAAAGGCCCTTCTGAAAAAATCGGAGCGTTGAACTTGATTTCTAAGTTCTTCGTTCGTCAGCTACGTAGAGTTTTCATTGCAGCAAAACGAGAACGCGAAAAAAACAAAAGCTAGAAAAAAAATAGTTTTTTTTGTTTGTTTATAGCTAACTTAAAAATCAGGTTGTTTTTGTTCAAATGTGGCGGGGATTACTGCAATAAAAAAAACTGTTAATCAAATTGCACTTTACATTAACAGTAATTTTTTCTTTCGCATTGTTATCAGTGATCGGAAGAATTGATTAATCGATCTGCTATGTCAAAAAACACATCTGGTGGCGAAGAATCACAACTTGTTGGCTACAGGGATTTAAATCAAGTTGGATTTAAATGAAAATATTCTGATTTATTTCATAAAAAAGGAAATCTTTTCGGAAAGTTACTGAATGTACCCAGAGTAATAAACCTCCCAAGCCTCTTCTCAGAATCGCGCCACGGCGCGATTCTGAGCTGCAATATGGCGGCCGTACGTGTAAAATCAAATCTGCCAAAAACGTGAGCAATAAAAAAAAAGTTATCGGCATTCCTTTTGTTGTTGTTGAGAAGGTTACGGTCTATTTGGTACAGAAAGCCACAAAGAAAACATAATACCTCTATAATTTTCTGACCGGTCGAAATTCCCTATCTCTCCAGTGCGCCCGTACCCATACAGGTTTTTCCGTGTTTTGCTTACCGCCGTCAACATGACCGACATCGTCCAGTCAGAAAGCTGTATTCAATTTATTCTCCAGCTCAAGCGAACACCATATAATGCGGTACTTGGGAACATCCATCGACTC